ATTAAGGAAGAGGCTTCTAATGAAAGAGAAATATTTCTAGAACTCATCGAAAAACGAATTGGATGTCTCAGAGAATCGCTTTCCATCTCCAATTTTGTGGGATATTTTTTCTAGTCTAAACAACAAAACCCTTAACTATTATCCCCTGCACCATAATTCCTTAGTAAGCAAACTTTACAAGTAAATAATACCATCAGCCTCAGCCACATCGAAGATGCTTCCAACTTTCAAGGGGAATGTGGCCCAAACGCCCTCAGGTATTTGAGCCAATTAGTGGCATAAAAAAAATAAATTCAATATCCACGCACACTCACTTCCCACCCGAGGGACTCCAGACATGGACTGGAATGGGATGGTATGGGAGGATAAACCAAAGGTTCAGTTGAGCGTATGTGTGAATAATGTTGCCCCGAGGCGGCCCATCCTCGTGCGCGGATGCGGATGTGGATAAATACCCAAGTGACCTGTCTTTCCTCTGTCCACTCTCCACCTTCGTCGAGCCACAAATTAGCGCAAATGTTTTTAAGGGTTGATTAGGCAAATGTTCGTTAACGTCGGGTGTGCACTTGTCGGAGGATACGATGGGATACGACGGGAACCGGACCTTGGAGCAGGATCCAGTCGTGGACGAGGGTCTGGTTATGGGTTCAGGAATCCGCATTAATTATGCTAAACATTTTTGAATATTGCCCTCACGTGCATCGCTAAGGAGACTCGCGACTCTTGAGGATACCCTTTGTCCCTCTGTCCCCTGTTCGTTCTTCCATCCATCCCAGCACTGACTCAATTTTGATTGGATTTCGGATTAAGGGGAAAAACTTTTGTCCTCGCAGGGGTTCGCTCTGGCTTTTCCTTCCTTCGCTTTGTTTTCCTTCGGTTGGGCAATTATGCAAATTAGATTTAATGCCTTTCAACACATTTAAGCGGATTACAATTTAATATTTCTCACATTGTTTATCTGCAATTCTACATTCTGTTTACTTTTGCATGTTTTTCGGGATGTCGGGGGCATAACATTCCTGTCGATAGGCAGGCCCGCGACTCTCTTCGGCACACATGTGTTAATTAGCCCTGAAAACGGGAAAGGTACGAGAGTTGATGACTCTTTTTGTACATTTTAATTGTTTCAATTAATTTGTCACACGAAGGGAGACAGCAACAAGGAAGAAGTTCTAAAAATCATCAACCATTTGTTAGAGAAGTTGATGGATGGGGGCAAGGTGAAAGGTGGAGTGGTGGAGGAGGTATTCAGCAGAAGAAAGAAACTTAAAGCCTTATAAGTGGAGAGGGTTAAGAAAGGAGCAGATTTTTGTAGGTGTAACTATTTTTAAAGCATAGTTTTTGAGGAAGGAATTATATTTTGGATTAAAGATTGTAGATGGAAAAGGGTTATGGAAATGGGTAATATTTAAAAGATGGAAGAAATAAAAATGTACAGAAATGTTCATGCATAAGGTTCTCTCAATCAAAGATAAAAGTTTTCAAGAAAGTTTTCCCAAAGATACCATCAGAAACTCATCCTTTTTCTCTAGACACTTTCATGGATCTACGGGGATAGTGGGGATAATGGGGATATGGTGGGGGCACCATAATCATCCCAAACCCTCGACCACCACTCAACCGTTTGGCGACAAATGTATAAATTCATTAATCAATTCATAACCCAATTGAGAATATAATTCATCGCATGTAATCGCATGGGATGGCATGCTTCGAGATATGCCGCGACTAATACAATAATTTTCAGCATGTTTACACAATCCATCTGGCTATATTCCAGCAAACCAAACAGATAAGGAGAGGACATCTAAAGAGAGGGAGGGAGGCACGTGATGGAAAAATATGAAAAAGTAAAATGTCCAAGAGCAATCAGCAGGCGATCTCGTAGACCGAAGATGCTGCCATCAATCCATAAAGAAAGATTATGAAAATCCAGAAAATCCGTGCATGAGTTCATTGAGGAAACAGGGGAAAACGGAAAGAGAGAAGAGATAGAAAGAGAGAGAAAACTGTGAGGATGTCAATGTCCTGACATTTGCCAAAATGATTTCGATATAATCGTTAGGAAATTCGTGCACCAGTCAGTCGCAAACTTCATTTCCATGAAACCTAATTGCTGCAGGCATTAGGAAAGGGAGACATGGAGACTCTCAGGCAGAGAGGAAGAGAGAGGGCATGATTTGCAGGGGGGAAATTGTCACCATATGCGTCAACACGCAATAATTCACCAGAAAAATAATCCAAACAATTGACCAAATCGGGCAGTCCGCTCTCTATTCTCCTCTCTATTCCTTTGGCTAATGGACAGGGTGTGTCCTCCCAGAGTGCCGTCTACGCCTCTGGCTCTCGATTGTGGATTGTGCCTGCAGCAAGTGCCACATACCCTCACCCTCATGCCTCATGCCACATGCCACTCCCCCCTCTCCAGCGGAGAGCTCTTTTGGTGTTTTGGTGCTAATTGAATTCATTGCCGCGTTGATCAAGTGCTGCCAAACACCAACAACAAATCATCCCCAGAGGCTAATGATACCAAAACGACGACTGAGGCAAAAGGCACAGAGCTCGACGACTTGCCAAAACCTCAGCCAGGGAAACTCTTGGAAAAGTATAGGAAACGCAGAGGGGAGTCTTATAACAAATGGAGAGGGGGTGTGGAACGGATAAGGGGGTTGGTGGAGTGGGTGTTCCGATTGTGGATTCTGGTACTATCTCCGTGCGTTAAATGAAATTAGAAAACCTTATGTTGTTAATTAGCAAATTTGAGAGACCATCGAGGGTCATGGTACCCACAAGGGAGAGGGGGCAGGATGTGGATATTAGGAGGGTACGTCACAGGTGGATGTCAGAGAGAAACTGAAAATGCGGTAAATATTTGATGTAGAAAGGGGGAAATAAATTGGGAGAAATGGTGGAGAATGGAAATAACGGAAAAGTGGATTAACATACATATAAGTACCAAAAATATAGTATGGATTGAGGAAAAGACCTCCAATAGTGGATAAGTCTGTAAAATTATTCGGTTACTGATATTCCTCAACTTTGAGAGCTTATAACTCAACCAGTATGAAACAGATATTCAGCTGAGAAACCATTCCAGATATATCTAAGCGGCAATTTAAACAACAGATCGTTTGAACTAAAGAACTAAGATTCCTGCGTATACACTCTATGTATATTAACAATCCCTTCCCTTAGGCATCTGTACAAAAAAATGTTGACCCATCAATCAGATTGGGATTTGTACCCCGAAACTGCAGAAATTAAAACCGGAAATTCGTCGCATCAATTGTGAGACCCATCGAGGCCAATCAATAGGACACCACAGCACCATCCTCCATCCTCCATGCTGACAGAACAAATAGCCATTAGCTAGATGGCTAACGAGCAATAACCGCTTACAGAGCAGCCCTCTCCTAACCGTTCTATTCTGGATCCCGAGACAAACGCAAATTTGACAATAATAAAATCCAACATATGACAATAATCGCACATATTTGACAATAAAATCGAAAATCGAGGAAAATTCGATTGAATATTAGCGGAAAAGTTCAACGAATGCCACAAGCAACGGGGCAAGGGAAGGATTGGTTGGAGGTGGCATGCCAAATCAGTAAAGCAAACATCACATATAACAAAATTAAGCATAAAATGTGATCATCTGTGTTGACATGAAGATCAAATTGGGACCAGAGCAACGACTGCTGCTGCTGCTGTCAAAGAGGGTTGCCCAACAGGGGATAACCAAATTGTAACACCAGCAACAATGGCAACAAAAGTCAGGACTAGGACCGGGAAACAGGGAACAGGGAAGTGAACCCTCAATTCAAATGGCAATTTACTGGGTGTGTGTGCGTCCCTTGCTGCTGCCCATTATTCTCTGTGTGTGTATGTGTTTATAGAAATTATAACTCAAATTTAATTTGCAACAGATGCGACAATCAGGAATCGGGCATTGAGCATCGAGGCAGCATCCAAAACCATCCACAACCCATCCCAAATCCAATTCCAGTTTTACGGTTTGATCTTTGTCACCCATTTTTCGGTTGGGCAGATATTTCAATGAATGCATTTTTCTGCCCTGTGCTACAAATTACCCGCTAATAGCTCGATGAATTGAAATTAGGAAGGGATTCAACCTTCCTTCTCCCGTTCTTCCCTTTCCCTCGGATATCCCTTTGTGAGCGGGATGTGTGCTCTGGTTCTGGTTCAACACATTTGGCCACTTCAAGGCAAATCAAAATAAAGCGCAGCATCGGCAACCGCAGGGCCCAGGGTGCACAGTGGGTTCAAGCAGAGAGAATGGTTTTAGGTGCTCCACAGAGATAGAAATGATCAGAATTTGAAAGTTAGTGGAACTAACCCGAACCACTGTGCCACACATTCTCCCTCATCAATCCATTTTCTAATTCTTTCGTTTATTTATACCGAAATGCCCTACGTGCTAGAGGTCCATCAGCAGAGCGAAATGAATTTTTATTAGCCCATCAAACAACAACAGCAACAAGAAACTGCTGCATAATAACAACAACAACAGCAAACATCCAATGATAACAACATAAAGCATACTTCAAGGCAAGGACCAACAGGCAACCACAGAACCAGTAAAGGTCTAGGTCTCTACCGCTCTGTTTTGGTCTGCCTGTGAAATGCTTCAGAATTACGTGATAAAGTGGACAGACGAGTTCTCTCTCTTTCTCTCTATAAGAATGGAAAGGGGAATGGGAATAGATAATCGAGAACAATTCCAAATCTGTTCACAATTAATGTCACTTTTCCGATTACGAGGGGGGTTATCTATGGTTTAATTGTTAGAGTGGATAAAGGATTCGTCATAAAAAGATGCACTCGTCTGCTTTGGAATTATGGGAAAAGAAACGTCAGCTTGGAGATGAAGATCATACAATAACATCCATCTGACCACACTATGATTGTATTTTACTTCTAAATAACACAAAATGAAAGTATCCGAAGGTTTACAAATGTAAAATCACCCGTTTCAGCTGTGGATCCCCAAGTTCAAACTCAAGGCTCCTTCGGTTATCAAAAAATGGAAATACTTCGACTGATTTCTGGTCTGTGGTTGATAATATATTATATTACTCGTGTATATCGCTCGTCTGCTGGCGGAAATCGACGCTCACCATGATTTTGTTCAATTTTCTAGCCAATCGAACATCCAAGTGCTCTTCTGTTGCTGTTCGTGTTGGTAAGTTGGCTACATTTTAATTAGCGAAATAATTCTGAAGTGATGCTATAAATTTAGTCATAATTATTGTCTCAGCAATTAAGTTGATTATCTTCCGCAAATTTTGATTTATTTGCAACGATAAGCTTTATCGCATCGCGGGGCCACAAGAAATGGGGAGCACTGGTATGCGTTTGTGATTGGGACATTCGAAAGTATTGTACGCGTGTATTATTTGGCTTAAATGGTTCTCCCGTATATATGATTGTTGTCGCCTACTGCTTCTGGTGTTGTTCGCAACATGTGTACGAGTATTTATAAGTTCGAGAGCATAGACAGCTTTTAAATCGAAAATAGATTAGATACAAAAAAGGGTATATCTGGAACTGGGGGGGGTTTTCGGCAGTTTTTGTTAGGTTTTTCTTTAGCAGCAGATTCCTTAATCTTTTCGGTCTGTGTTCGAATTTATATCGTTTGTCTTCTGTATTTCTCCTTTGACTTTTAAGATTCGCTTCCAGATCATATTTCCTGGGTATTCTTCACATAAAATCACTTCTCTCTAATCTTGTACCTTACCTATCCACTTTTTATAGTTTTTTGCACTTTATTTTTCCCATTTTCAATCAAAATCCACTAACTTGAAGTCGTGCAGTGCCACAATAATCTCTTCATTGTTGGTTTTTTCTCTTTTCATGTTTGCTTGTTATTTCTGTATCTGTGTGTTTTGATAATTTTAAAATGTTAAAATTACATAATTACACATTATTTACACGAACTAGATAACCAAATTGTAAAACTAATCTCATTTAACGTAATTTATTGGCATTATTTAACTTTAGGTTTATGTTTATTCCATAGATTGCATTTATATTTACTTATGCTTTATGTTTTCTAATTAGTTGTAGATGTTTATGTACAAATAGGATGATTGATGGGAGGATAATGGGGGATGCGGATTCAGGTGTAGGGGAATAATGAATTTTATGTATATATTTCTCGTTTACATATGTATATCACACAGTGCATGGTTTTTGTTGCTGCCCCAAAAAACGACTAAAATATTTCAACAAATTGCGAAAATCTAAAAATGTGGGTTCAATAATGGGTGGGACGGCAGTTTAATTGCGGCCTGACTAGAATGGATGCTCCTCTTGCTCCTCCTCATCCTGGGCAACCAAATCATCCTCCAATTCCATATCCAGTTCCATATCCAACTCTGGGTCCTCCTCCTCCTAACTGGCCGCACTCTGAGGCTGATTCTGATTCTGCTGCTGCTGCTGGGACTTAGCCCGCTCCTTGGCCTCCTGCTGGGCCTTCTTAGAGCGCTTCCACTTCATGCGGCGGTTCTGGAACCAGATCTTAACCTGCGTCTCGGACAGCATCAGGCCGCTGGCCACTTCAAAGCGCTTCGGCCGGCTGAGATACTTGTTCTGCTTGAACTGCTTCTCCAGCTCGAGCAGCTGCTGGGAGGTGAAGGCCGTGCGCGGCCTCCGCGTCTTTCCCAGTATCGCGTGATGCGGATAGGCGGCCAATTCGGGTATACGATGGTGGAGCATGCCAGCGCGGGCCAGGAATTCAAACTGCAGCTGCGAGGGCATAAAGTTGTGACCCATGGGGATCTATGGGTAAGCCAACAGAAAGAAAACCACAGAAATTAGAGGCTGTTTAAGGATATCTTCTCTGATTGAGATGCTTACCGGTATGGGCTTGCCGGATGGATCCAGGGGCCGATGAAAGGCGGATCCGCCTTGGGCCAGCAGCTGATACGGATGTCCGCCCGCGTACAGAGGGAAATCCTGGGGTCTGATGGGACTGTGCGGTGGCACGGGCTTTTTGAACTCGTCGTGGAGATCGGACATACGCATGGACATGTGATGGGAATGCTGGTGCAGATGCGGATGGCCGCCATGGGCGTGGGGCTGCTGGTCCTCGCAGCCGGGGCTAATGGGCGGACTGGACCGATGCGAGGAACTCGGGGACTCGGATCTACCAAATAAAGAAAAGAAAAAAGAAGGCCGCGAATTATCGAATCGGTATTACGCGACACATTTTGAAAACAATTAAAGTGTCGCTCGCTCTGTCGCCCTTCTGATGCCCCCACTCCAAGCCTTTGTCTAATTTGTTTGCTTTTCTACACAATTCGCACTTGAAAATTAGCCCCCTTACACAGATGCAACCATATTCATACGCACACTCGCAGCCAGAGACAGACACATGGCATATTTGTAATCTCTTTGAGTGATGACCAAATGGGAATTGACCAATTGAGGCTTTTCCCCGTTTGCTGTTTTTCGTTTGGCATTTGGCTTTCTGCCATGTTATTGAGTGCTCCCAAAGTCGCTTTGGTTTTTGGGGGGCTTCCACCAGGCTTTGTTTGGACCTGGGATTCTCCATTGGGGATCTCTGGGTATCAGGATGGGGATTATGAAGAAGTGTGGGGGTAACTCATGTACTCTTAAAAAGAAAAGCCTGGTAGCGACGAAAGGATTAATAGCAAAAGTTGAGGGATTGGATTCTAGAGCTTCATCGCTGGATTCACTGGCCAGTATAACGAATACAATCATTCATTTACTCAAACTAGAATTATCCATATAATGAAATATCCATTGAAATACCTTTATCTATCGAAACCTCTGTCTGTAGTTTCTAAAGTCTTCCTGTAATTTCTTTGTACTCACCTCGACATGCCGTCGGGACTCGGCGAATCGTATTCCCGTGATTCTCGTATGCGCTGCAGTGCCTCGTGATCGCTAATTCCGCCGACGGCTGCCGCATGGGCTGCTGCAGCCTGAGCTGCCGCCGCATTGGAGGCGGCCATGAAGGCGTGGTTGAGCTCTGTCTGATCCCGGGCGACATAGTGCAGGGCTGCCAGTCGATCGTCCACAATGATGGGCTGGGGCTCCCGCTCTCCCGCCTGGTGCTGGCTCTTGGCCAGCAGGGCGTCGATGCAAAAGGATTTCTTGGGCTGGCTCTGGGCTGGCGGCAGCAGTGTCGTCGTGGTCGATGCGGTGGTGCTGGTCGTGTGGTTGCTTGAGGGCTGCGGGGAGCAGGAGTTGGTTTCGGGCGGTGGGGCTACTCCATTCATTGGCGCCGCGCCATTGGCGGGATTCATGACGGGAGCGAGTGGCAGACGGGGCAGGGTATATCCTCCGTTCACATTAACCAGAGCGGAATGCAGATGAGGGACATGATGTGGTGCGAATCCCTCCACATACAGTCGTGGATGTGTGGGCGGTGGCGGCGGTCCTTGGGGTGGCGGACAGCCCACGGGTATGGGCGCCACTAGCAGAGCCATTCCCGATGGAGTTGCTCCTCCGGCGGCGATCTGTTCCGTCGCGTGTTCCTGTCCTCCTCTTCCTGGACTCAATCCTGGGGCGTATGCGCTCTGTGGGGATCCGGTGGTGGCTGTGGAGTGTGTGGGACTGGAGCCAACGGCCGCTGGACTGGGAGTGGGGCTGCCCCTGGATCTGGGCGAGAGTGTGGAGTGGTTGCTGCTCTGATCGTAGTCGTGGGGCGACAATCTTTGCGGATGGGGATGATGAGGATGCTGGTGCTGGCTATGACTGTGGCTGGCGGCGGCTATTTGGCTGAGGAGCAGCTGCGACGGCATCGATAGCGCTGTGGTTGTCTGCGGCGGCGGCTGTTGCGACACTTGTACACTGGACATGCTTTGGTTCTATCTATTTCAAATTAATTCTGTTTTCAACACCACAGCACTTCTCTTCTCTGTCTTCTTTTTCGCACTTGAACGCGCGATTTCAACTCTGTTTTCGAATTTCGGACTTTCGAATTGTCGCTCTGTGCGCGTCTATTCACGTCGAACGTTCATTAACGATTGTGCATGCCGAAAGGTCTGCTGCGGAGTCATATACCGCTTGTCCGACCCACCACCACTATCTAGCACCACCAATCGCTCTCTCTCTCTCTCTCTCTCTCTCTCTCTTGCTTCTTTTATATTTCTCTCTGGCTCTCGCTCTCTCTTTGGCTATGGCTTTCAAGATGGAGTCTTTATCACCATGCTACTGGTGCAAGAGAGATAGATAGGCATACAAAAGTGGGCGTGGCCTCCGAGTAAGGTGCGAGCGAGAGATGGGGGAGGGTGTTGGTCGAAAATTTCATATAAATTGTTGGAAAAACGAGGCTATAATTGCCATCATTATGGAGTGTTGAGCAACTTACAAGTTCGACGGTAAAAGACGAAAGAATCTTCATAATCAACTTGAGTGTGAGAGCTCTCTCTCAGGGAGACTCATAAAGTGAGAGAGGAGAGTCCGAATGAGCGCCAGGATGGATGGATGGATGGGGCAGATATGTACGTACATATGCATGTGCATAGATACACGAGTGGGGGCACACTTCTGTCTGGGCAGAGATGATTAGAGCAGCAATTAAGGCACTCGAATGGCTCACATTTCGAGCTGAAGAGGATTCCATTCTTCGAAAGCTTAAATCTTATAAAATCAATATAATCCCCGACACCGACCCTCCTTACGGCTGCGATAAATGGCTCGTTTCATTTGATTTTTACAGCTGGGTCGCTCATTTCGCATCATCTAACTGTTGACGGTCCGCTACCGTGTAATGTTCCTATAATGCATTTTCTGTCTGCTGTCTGTTTCTGTTATGGTCTGTCAACCCATGGACCATCCATTTTATGACCCACCCACTGTCCCCACACACACACGCACTGCGGAACCACAGGAGACCACAGGAGACGATTTTAATGTTCCCTTGATGGATTACTAAGTGGACATGAATGGCAGCCAAGTGGTTCCACATTGCAGATGGGACATTAATGGATTTAGGTGTGATATAATATTGGAATGGTATCTTAATATCTACCTAGGACTTACCCCAGAACAAAAATTTCACTTGTAGATTGATTATTTACCAAGTTTCTTTATCTTTTCGGCTGTTATATTCTATTCTTCTCTATTCGATGTGAAATTCTGTTTGGGAAATTTGTATTCGAATTGGATATTTTACGGATGAAAATTCCTTTAATAGCTTAGCTTTTACTCCTCATATTAAATCTGTACAACTTTTGTCTGACTCCTAATTTGAGGACCTGCAGCTATGCCAAGGCAAACAGCAGTGGTCCTCCAGCCAGCTGGCACCAAAACAAGAACTTAACAATTTCGAAACGAAGAAAACAACTTCATTATACATACGTATGTACATACATACATTCATATGTATGTGCATACATATTTTTGTGTGTATATGTACATATGTACATATATCATGCAATGTCTGGACATTGGAGAGAGCCCGAGAAAGGGGTATCAGAGAGAAAGAGTGATGATGGGAATAGAGAAGAAAAACTGAGCGCTAACAAGAAACGTGCCAAAGTGTATTTTCTTTGCCCACATACACAGACCAATACAGAACCCATTTCCGAATTTTCGAGTCCCGACTCAAACTCAAACCGAAAAATGTTATCCCAAAAACGAACTCAAAATTAGTGCGATGTCTGCAATGACGACTGATTGCTGTTGTTTCTCATCCCTGTTCCCTCTTCACCTCTTTAGCTCTTTATTTTATGTATATCGTCTCTATCCTCTATCTGGTTCTTATTTTGCTTTCATTATACGATATTTATCTTCTCATCCACGTGCATTTAACTAACATTTATGGGGGGGAGTCCGGGGCGGTGGCAGTAATGGGCAGAGGGAGCCAGCCAGACATGACCTGGCAGTGGTCCAGGCTAGGCCATGCCACGAAAAGAAGGAGCATAACATTGTTCTCTTCATATGATTTGTGTTGTTTCAGAATAGTTTATTTTATATATCATCACAAACAAAGAGAGACATGAGGAGAGAACAATTGGATAGTTTATTTGCGAGGGGGTGAAGGTGTGAGGATTGAGGATTGTGAATTGAGACTGGGTTTGTTTGCCTGATTTCATTTTGATTTTGGGAAAATGGTTGCGTAAAGATGCAATTGGAGATGAAATTTTAAATCGATAGGAGTAGAATGGTTCTCAACAGATGAAGGTTGAAGGTTAAACTTCGTTGGTAACTGTGAAGCCAGCTGGAAAAGTGTTCTAGACTAAAGAGTGATTAAGGTAACTCTTATAGGATATGATCATGTTCAACCCTTTGAGCCCCTTTATTTGAGGGATTTTTAAAGGAGACTGTTTCAGATAATCCCAACACCCTTTTCCTCCATTTAAGGCATATTGGCATATTAGGAAAAACGCTAATCAGGCATTACATTTTCCAGAAAATATCGTAAATAAAAAAATGTCGAAAATACCAATCAAATAAATTGTCACATATGCTGCTGCAATTTAGAATTTGTGGTCAACAGAGAGAGAGATACGATACTCACTCTCTCTGTCCCTGTCTCTCACTTGTGTCGTGTTAATTCAGCCGATAAGTGAACAATAATGCCAACAAATTTCAACAGATTTCCAGCGGCCTTAGTTAGCTAAGTAAACAGCATTAAAACGTGGGCCAGCAGGAAAAGCAGGAGAATTCAAGGGTTCAGCAATAAAAGAGGGTTGAGAGGGTTTGGATTGAGGGAGGGGCTGGGTGGAAAGTGGAAAGCCTCGAGGGTTGATTGAATTGACTTTGACACTTATGTTTGTTATATTTAAAAAAAAAACAAAGAAGGAAAGGGATAACAAAGTGTAAAAGATTTTTGAAAACATTTTAAAAACAATAACCACAAAACAAAAGAGTGTAAAAGTGGTAAAGCCACCCTGTAAGAGATGTCCTTCCATTAGCTACTCATTAATCACAGGCCCACAGTCTCGCCCTGGAAACACACCCTTTCCAGATCAGATCCATGACACAATTGATAATTGTGCAAATATTGGTGTACAAATAATTGGTATTAAATTGCGTTATCAATTAATGATTTCTTACAATTGAGCTCCGGCCATAAAAAATAGCAAAGATACACTCGAAAGATACACTGCATCGATGTATCCATGGTTCCATTGGTTCATCATGTTGACAGAGTTGTAAAGTCGGGAAAGGGAACGGGAGAGTGTCAGTATCCGCCTTTATATGCACACACTTTTTATGCAAAATAATTACTGCACCTTGGTATTTATCATTCCAACTGTTTTCCCTCATTTTCTGCGCAATATTTTAAGCAAACAGAGGTGGCACAAACTGCTAGCTGATTGCTGATTGTCTCTTGCCACATTATCTAAGGGGTCAAATGTTACCAACAGATTTCGCAACTCTCTAAAAGACAGAGGCTAGACGATATTCTGGAAGACCTGCCTAAATCTCATAGTTATTGGACATTCCATGGCAACAAATGCACCCAGTCGGCAGCATTTGAAGTGAATTTTAATCGTAGAGCAGAACAAGCGTCGCGCTCTTTAAATTTTCATTATAAATCAACTAAAGTACACAATCAGACGGAAGGAAGCAGAGCAATGAAGAGAGCGTACGCAATGAAATAAATATTTAATAATATGGCGATAATAAAGTATATTTCATTTATTGACACACAATTTTAATTGAACTTTTAAATGTATGCGACAGTCCAGCAGTGCTATTATACTTCACTCTCCTATATCGCCCATATCTTTCCATCCTGCCGCCTATCCACCAGATAAGGTTTATAATTGAGTTGTGTTTTTTCATTAAGTGCGCGAATTGATTTGCTTTTCATATTGCTTTTTTTTTGTAGGTCTGTCTGTGGAGCAGACTTATTAAAAACTGATAAACTAAACTTCATATTTCTTTTTTTCCAGATTAAGTAATTTTAAAGCGGATGAGTAGGAGTCAACATATATGGATGAAACCTAAAAATTATGGGAATCATGAATGAGATAAAGCCTTCCCACTAAACTCCACCCATCCTCAATCACGGATTGATAATCCTTTGGATTTAGGGAGGAAATTGTTTGCTGAATGATTGCAAATTATTATTTCGATTAGAAAACGGCTTGGGCCTCTGCCCTGCCCTGCCTCTATTTATGTCACAAATGATTTGTGAGACTTTAATCGTTGAGATAATGCTTTCAGACTTATCAAAATAATCAATAAGTATGACTAAGTGAAGGAAGGGATTGATAATCTCTCAAGCCAATGCTTTAAATTTACCTTTTGCCTGGACTTTAACTATTTCAAAACATGTGCAGCAAAATATCTACTGAGCTCTCTGCTTGTTTTTATATGAATGTAGATGTATCTATTGCTTCTGTATATACATACATTGGACTGCCTCATTAGCCTCGGCGCAAACAAATTTCCGTATGCCAGACTATAACATCACATCGTATCCCATTCCAATCCATCGAAAAACCAAGCCAAGAGTTGAGTCAAATGTGTGGCAGCAGCAGAAGCGCGGATCGGTGGTTTTGTTTGCACACAACTGAGATACTGAGATACATTTAGCTGCTGCCGTTGCGACATTCGAAGTTTTTTAACCTCAGAGCGGGCTCTGGCTGAGGTTGAGATACTTCCTGATATGTGGGATTCCTTAATATGATGTGTGTGTGTGTTTGAGAGGGTAGCGCCAGGCGATACGATGGCAAGGGAATGGAAAATGGGAATGGGAGGCAGAAGGTACATAAACGTGCACTTTCCGATAAGAAGGACGCACGAAAATCGCATTTTGATTTGTGCTTCGTATTTGATCAGATACACAGATACACCGATACACACGAGGGTCTGGGTCGGATTCTTTCCTATTTGCCCTGGATTTTGTAATTGTTTGCTTAAGTGAATTCAATTGCCAGATAATAATTGTTGCTCCCCAATCCTTCCCTTTCTTCCCTTCCTTCCTGCTATCTGCTCTGTCCTGTTTATTTGACTATCCATAAATATTTCCTCCTGCTGATGATATCTATATTTTTCATATTTTTTGTTTGCATTATAAATTATTATCTCTGCTTATCATTCCCCATTTTTTCTCTTACCATTCCCTTGGGATATGGCCCGTAGCCCCTTTCTAAACATAATTTCTTTTCTCAATCAATCGCCTTGGCGTCTATTATGATTGATTAAATTACAATTATAAGGGAGGCCACGAATCAAACAGAAAACGAAGAAAAAAAGAATCAAAATAAAGAGCTGCTTATCGTACGAGCTGCCTTCGATTTGGACTCCTCTTATCGCTGGGTGGGTCATATACATATATCGCTAATAATCAATTTTCAATTAATTCAAAATACCCTATCAGCACCCCCTTCTTCCACCCTTCCATACCCCTTTTAATTTATTAATATTGAAAAATTATAGAAATTTGTTTAAAGCCGTTTAAATGGTCGTCACATCACTCGAAAATTTAGAACTCAAAAGTCGTCGAGAACTCGGTCGTAATCTAATCTTTAGATTTGGCAGCGATTTAATTTATATAATCAACTTGTTTTCATAATTAAAAAATATTAAAATGTTTATTACACACACACACAGGGACACTTTTCGGCTGATAAGCCATCCATCCCCAAGGGGATCGGGAATTGGTGCTTGGGTTCACTACCTTTGGTATTCCTCCTCCATTTGATTGGTCTCACCCTCCCCACGGCTCTACCATTTATTCCAATGGCTTATCGTGGCCTAATTGAAATTGCATTGAAATTGATTGATTTGCTCATAAACCGTTCTCTTCGGTTTCCCTCTCTTTGTCCATTTGTTAATCGTTTAACTATTTGATGGAGCACAGCTCTCGATTGTGGGCTGATTTGTTGCTAATTGAGAACGGGAGAATTTTGCTCCAGAAGGCAAAGGTTTCTAATAGTGAATGTTGTAAATTGTATTCAAATGAAATGAAAGAGCATATCATATCCGACTTACACTCGAAACTGCCATTTCGTGTGTTTTTTCTATTCAAAAACCATCATTTCATTCCATCACTTTGGGTCGCATGTCGCATCCAAAGTGCCCCTGGAGCCGTTCCCACGTTCTTAATTAGCCGACTGACTGAATTGCAGACAAAAGGCTAATAAAATAATGAAATGAAATCCAAGTAAATATCCAAATTTTTTTTAAAAACATTTAGCAATGTCAATAAACTGGGTCTTTCGGGGAGGCGCCTCGGGGACGGGACGCTGCTCATATTAATCTTCATTAAAAGGGAATTTCAATGAATTTACGATGGCCGAAAAAGTTTCGCTTTGGCGCCATCTAGCCGTACCACTTTGGAGCTACCACACTTACGCATTGCGTATTTGACATTCGCCAAAAAAAAAAGAAAAACGAATCGAAATAATTCGAGAACAAACAAAAATGCCAGAAAAAAAAACTGAATATATGTATACCTTGCGGATAGTCTCCCCTCTCCTAAAGAGAGTACCTCTGTTTCCCCTTCCCCCGCTGTGTCTACAAGTAAGCAACGTCTTCGGGTAAACATTTTAAGCTGCCAGCCCGAAAAACGCTAATGGGTAAACACAGATGCGGTCGAGACGGAGATGGGAATATTGCGGAGGAATCGCTCGACTCGTCTCTCGAGTTTCTGGCGCGTTTTAAAACGCGGAAAAACTTTCAAGGAAATTGCCACTCTAACTAAGTGGAAATCTTTCGATTAGCTAGTTAATCAACTCGAATGCGGAATTATTAGATTTGGTTTCCGCGATAGCCAGCGAAACAGAGAAGAAGGGAGAGGAGTGGGAAGGAAAGCTAACATTTTTGATTTATCAATTGATGCAGGCTACTTTTTCCTCCTGACTCTGTTATCAAGATGTATTAACCTCTAATCATAAACGTTGATTTACCAGCCCGAAGTCCCATGCCCCAAGAACAGAGAACCCTGTTCGCCCTATAAATAATCCATTACCAAACCCCAATCGTATATTAGTAATAACAATTGCCGTTTATCAGTAGTTTTTAAATCGCTTTATGTTTCTGCCTCTGCCTATTGCCCTGCCCCTCCCTCTCTCTATATGTATTTATTTAATTTGTGCTCTGCGATAAGTCCTTATGGAGGAGGAAGAGTTGGTTCATTTGAGATACATCGAGTGTACAATGAGGCCTCCTCCTCCCAAGTATGACAATTCTCTGAGTAGCCAATTATTTCCGTATCTGGAGCTCATATTTTGTCATCGCTTCGACAGATTGTGCGATTTCTGGTTAAAATTTTGTGATTCAATTATAATGAAACTGATATCTCGTTTGTTCTGACGAGTAGTTCCTTATAGACATTCTGTAACCCCCCAACCAAGTTGATTATGATTATGATACATTTTCAGGTGACAAAAGTAAAGTTCTTCCGGTTGGTGTTTGTCATTTGGTGGCAGGAAATTATACGTGAAGGGGTCCCATAAATCTTTATTCTATTGTTAATCGCGTGGAAAATTCCCTTTGATACTCGTATTAGTCACAGATGTCCAGATCTCTCTCTCTCTCTTTCCATATCATAGCTCGGTCAATAGCTTTGGTCAATAAAAAACTCATTAAAGGCAGTCTTTATCTTTATTCCTTGCCCCACCCTTCCCTTTGGGGAGGCAGGCACAACAAAGCAAAATTGAAATGTAAACTCACTAAAAGCCCCCTGGACCACCCCCCTTACGCCGCTTTATTGACTCTAAACGGAAGCCGCTCAACAGTGGCTAATGGTCATAATTAAACGTTGTATTTGCATAAATCAAGTGTTGAATGGAGAACGGACTAGAGTGGTGACTATGTCTGCCTGAGGTGAGTGTGAACAACTCCAGAAGATCTCGCCATATCTATCAGTAATCATTCCAAACGAATATTTTTTACTGCAGACAAAAAAAATTGTGAAAATGCTTTCTTTTTGTTTTACTATCTTCTATCCAAATTACTAATTTTATGTAGATTGAAAATCCTCAACATGCGCTGCACCCAACGAGCGTACGATAAAAACGATTGCAAGGAGCATTGCATCGGGTCTTAATTTACAACTAATTGTCATATGACCGACTAGTTATCGACTAGCAATCAGCGCGACTTAGTTATATGATAGGGGGTGTCTGCGGGTCTGCAGCGCACACGCAATATATAATATATTAAATCAGTGGGATTTTCCGATCATGTCTGGCCATGAGGGTGAAGGAAGCAGTAACTCTGGCCGATCGGTCGTCTAATTGAATGCTAAATGTACTTAAATATCTTTATAATTGACGCCACAGTGAGGGTGTCGTAAAAAGCACGTACATGGACAGAGCACCGTGTAATACTAGTACGTCTGTCTGAGAAGGGGGCCTTAAGAGTGGAGATATCGAACGAATCCCCCGCAATCACACAATCACTCACTATCCATCCAGCCAGTCATCTGCAACCACCCGCAGCAAAAGGTATTTATGTTATTTGTCAAGTATATCGCTCACGATACTTCACAACGGAATTGGGTTGGGTGGGGCGATGAAATGGGTGGGGTGAGTGTGGTTCCTAATTACACCATGGGCTTTAACGTCTTGTAACGATCTAAATTATTGCCACTGCAACGGTGCAACACCTATGCTTTTTATGACCCTCATTTTCAAATACCAGTAGCCGTAGCTCCATTATAATCATCCATATATGAGTATAAATATATACATATATCAGATATGGCATGCTATATAGAGAATCTCATACAATTGCTTATTTATTTTTCAAGTCTTTCTTTTGATTTGTTGATTCCGATAGCTACAACTGGGGTGGGTGGGCTCGAATGAATTTTTAATGATCAGCAAAAGATCATTCAACTCCCTCATGGAATGGGGTATCTGAAAAATCTTTAAACACTTGAGGGAATGCTACGAAATTGGTCGTTGTGTCCAGTATAGCAGCCAAGAGATAAAGGGGCGTTGAAGCCGAGCCGCCTAAAGTGATTGTGACTGCAATGCAATGTCCAAAGTCAGCAAACAGAAATCGATGGACGAGTGACAGAAAGACAGAGATATCCAGAAAGCACAAAACGAAGCAGCAAACACAAACATCCGATAAGGCGTAGAAGCCTCATCTTCGAGCCACATCAAACAGAAGCCAAATGAGCTTGTCGTGCCGGAAACTGTCCAGGTTGCGTGGTCCGATGGTTCGACGGTATCTTCAATCAAAGCCAAGTACTGGGAGGAGGTCGCTTGAGCTGCAACTGTAGGGCTGCCATGAGGAGGAGTCGATCAAACGGTCCGCACAAGAGCGGATCGCCTCTGATCGCCGCATCATCCAAACGTCTGTAGGTCAAACAAACGGACGAGTATGTCGCGGAAGGTGCCTTAATCCAAAGTGGCTACTGAGTTGCCTTCCAGCTGCAGGTAGTAGATGAGGATAGTGTATTCCTGTGTATTGCATTCTGCAGGAGGAGGCAAACACTTCTGGTGGCATTCTGTTGGTCAAGTCAACAAACACTTGCCGGCTACTGATCTCTTGTCGCCAATCCGCAGGGACTCATTCCGTCAATCTCTGCTGTCAATCTCCTGTGGCAAATAAACTCGAGTGCCTCCATCGCAAACATTTAATATTTGCTCTTGTATTATTCAGTGAGCAGCATCCCATTCCCATTCTCAGCTCCCATCTGGTGTTCAACTCCTCCCCATCCCCCTGCCACTGTACCCTATAAACTGTTTGTTCGGGGCTGTTTAATCGCTTTAATGGATATGGATTGTATAGTTGATTTTTTTTTTAGAACCCGTACATTTTACCGCCATAAATTTGAATTTTCAATTACTTGATAAACTCGATATAGTACAGATGAGACTTTTATTTGCGGCGAAACGCTGCGCAACGAAAGCTGACTGTTATGTAGAAATAAGCTTGTGCCATTTTTTTAAATTTAAATATGTATTTTCAAAGATTTTGGGATGTAAGTTTCAACGAACAAAATTTTAAACCTCCTAAAACCTAAACTATTCCTGCCTCAATTATTTTACTGCACGCAAGCAAAACTGCTAGTTTCCTTCCAATTTGAACGTTTTTCCTTGGTTTATTTTCATTTTAAGGAAATTCATGGAATTTCATGGAAATGTTTACCACTGACCATTTACATTACGATAAATACAAAAAATTATATTGTTAATTTTCAAAAATCATTGTGCGCCGCCAACCAACTGCCTGTGAGCACGGCATGTACAGAGCTAACATTTATAAAATGTTATTTAAACAGGAAAAACTACTCTGATCGCCACACCGGAATGTGGCCAGCGGTGTGCTTATAAACTAAATCAATTGCTGGTGAGGGACGGCACACAGAACCAGAAACTAGGTGGAACAAACTCAGCGGGCCAAAGTGCCGCCGTGGCCAAATGTTTTGTTGTTGTTCGACTTTTACTCCTTCGAGGCCATGTGTCCAACCAAGTTGCTGGTGATCTTTTCGATTTTCTTCAGGTCGGGCATGTTTTCCGCTTTGTACTGTACGCACTGCAACAATAATTGTTGATATTATATTGTTAGTTTCTAGCCCAGCGAAAGTCGAGGTGGCTTGAGTCCTCTTCTTCTTCTCGTACGAACCTTTACATTATCCGTCATTTTCAGCAGTATGTGGCCCTTGGAATGCACGTATTTCATTGTGTAGCGGCAGTTCTGTGGATTTGCCATATACATGTTCTCGGCGGCAATCTCAAAATCCTCCCAATTCTTCACAAAAACCATGTTGATTCAGAAGGTGCAAAAAAAATGAGGAAACGAATAACAACAACAACGGCACTAGTGATGTTAGATATATATCGATATATTTAAAATATTACTATCAGTAGTTTTGTGCGATAGGCGGAACGAGAAAAGTGTGGCCATTCAAACGATAGCCAGCTAAATATTAAGACTATATACATATATTCAATGTAGTAAGATTTCCATTTTTTAATTTTAAGCGCTCAACAAACATACACAAAACACCATATTTTGCGAGATCTACTCGTGCGATATGAAATATTATGACGGATGATATATAGTGAAATTGTTTGCCGCCATTCAACAAGTCGTTCGAGTTTGCTCCCATTCCTTGGACTCAGATCCAAAAACTGTTTGCCAGCAAACAAATCTCATATATTCTTCCAGCGGCCAGTTATGTGACCAGAGGTGTGCACTGAATTCCGTACTGTTACACTGCTCAGACCGCTGCTTGGTTTTGTTTAAAGTTAATAGAATGCACTTCTTCTGCTTGGACCGCTCTTCCCCAGGCACATCCTGGGCTCCCCAATATTTTATTGGCAAGGTAATGTGTCTGACTATCAGCAGCAGCAGATGGCGACGCCTCCCGTGCCGGACACCGTGAAAAAAAAATGTTTTGAAAACCATATTTGTTTTATATTTATGAAAATTAATAAAAATAATAGATTATAATATCCATTCTCATTCATATAATACTGCATTAACTAGATTCTATATGTCTTCATTGTTAAAATATTTCATCTGGATTTTTGTACTCTTATTGCAATGTTTGCTTCGTGTTTGCTAGCAAAATATATCAAATTGATATAATTTTCGAGGTGGGTCTGAACATACCAAAAACACAAGCAAATACTTCGGATACTTTTCCAGTATATACCGACCTTTTTTTGTTGATCTGAGTACTGCCTTCCGTATAGAGCCCAGAAAACAGTTTTTGCCGTACAAAATTTCTTATCGGTTTCATACGAATATCAACCCTGATTCTGTTAGAAAGAGGTTTTTTTCGATCAAAGTACTAGGCTTAAAAACCAAACCAATGTCGATACAACACAAACATCGCATCGCTCGTATCGATAGATGAATTCTTTACTAGAGCTGCCACCCCGCGGACAACTTGTTGCTGTGACGTCACAACTACACACGGACACACCAACACACGCATGAATTTGGTCAATATGGCAAACAATCTGTCAAACCCACAATTACAACAACAACTGCACATTGACAGTTCGTCAATAGGTCCATACATAATCCGTACCCGCGAATTTTCTTGGCCGCTGCGAGGAAAGTGACCCGAAAAGTGGCACTGAAATCGCGATCCAAACAAAAAGACCAGCCCCAAGAAATGCTCCCCCAACCGACGCCGCCCCACACCTTCAAGGTAATGTCCGGCCCAGACGAGTGCCGTCATTACCTGCGGGCCTTTATCCACACATACCGCGACCTGCCTGTGCTATGGGACACCTCGATGAGAGATTACACTAATCGGGAAAAGCGAGCGGAGGCGTACCTGCGGCTGGTGCCCATCTACCATTACCTTAAGCGTGACGCGACTGTCGAGGATGTGAAGAAGAAGATCAACACGCTGCGGACTAACTACCGAAAGGAGCTGAAGGTGATGGAGAGTGCCGTGCGGTCGGGCACTCATCACAGTCCCCGCTGCTGGACCTTTCAGGAGCTGGACTTCCTGCGCAACTCAGAAAAGTTCTTGGCCGTCAACCCGTTCTTCAAGAACGAGCCCTCCTTCCTCTTCAGCGAGAACAGCAGCTGCTCGACGGCCTTCATCGACCAGCATGGAAATCCCCAGCAGCATTATCCGACGCCGCGTGGAGCCGTCGGACAAACCCCAAACATTTCTGAAATGTTTCACAAATCGTTTGGGCATGTCCAGCGAGTGGACAGCCTCCCGTCGGCGTCACAGCCTCTGCACTCCGACTACGGGTCAACGAAGAGGGCCAGACAGACGCCTCCGCTGAACAATGGCTCTGGAGGCGGATCTGCTAGTGCGAACAACAGTCACAACGCGGACGAGCTGCTCAACATTGCTTGCGAGTATTTGGCCGGGACCTATCCCGAGGAGGAGTCGATAGCCCGCACCTGGACGCACAAGCTGCGGCGTCTACCTCGCGAGCAGCGACTCCTGGCCGAACGCTTCATCAATGAGATTCTGTTCGAGGCAGAGTCCAACAATCTCCACCGCGGTTCTCTCCAGATCAACAATAGCTTCGAGCCGTATGTCCGTTACGACGAAGCTTCCGCGGGGCAAGAGGATCAGGAAAAGTCCCAGAGCCCCAGTGTCCACACGTCCACAGAGTCCAAGACGATGGTCGCAACAGAATCAGCGGCAGTAGATGCTGCTGCAGAAGCATCTGTCGGCAGCGGAGGAGCCGCGGTGGAGATTAGAGAGTTTTAGGGAGCACGGAGCATCGCGTGCACCGTACCGATTAGCCTTAAGTGTTATTAAATTTTTATTTTCTGATTGGACGTAAAACGAGCAATAAATACACCTGAAAAATAAGTAGCCGAAGGAAATGGAGTCAATCCAGGCGATGGTAGTCAATCAGGCTGCGGGTGAACCAGAGGTACGGCGAGGCTCCGGCCAGGAAGAGGCAGGCTCCGATTAGAGGTCGATGCAGGATCCAGGCCACGGCCGCATTGAGGAGCGCCAGCGAGAAGGCGATGACAAAGTTTCCGGTCATTGGGAACTGAGAGTCTGGCGCCAGGCAGATGAGAAGCGGAACACGCAGCACTAAAAGAGCACGGGATGCAGATGGAGGATAGAGAGAGGAGGTGAAAGAAAAAGCTGTTAAGAGACTCACGTAGAAAACGGAGTATCTTGGAGTTGCAGCTGACGCCAAAGAAGATGAGCAGCCAGCCAATGAAGCGCCACCACCAGGTGTGCAGCACCTGGGAACGGGATTCGAGCTTGAACACCTCATGTACAGTCAAGGCGCCCGGGTAGACCAGCAGCACTCGCACTCCGCGAGAGGTGACGTAGGGAACCAGCTGGTTGCCCTCCATCTTGGCCACCACGCTGTACGTCTCCCCCTCCATGGCCGCGAAGCTGAAGAGGATGCGCAGGTCACCCACCACCGGACTGAACACGTCGTTGGTGTGATAGTATAGGCCCAGGTGAAGCTTAATGCTGCTGTCCTCTGGCCGAATGTCCGACGTCAGCTCCTGGTACTCCTGGAACTTGTTCTTCAGCTCCAACCCGAGCTCGTATCTGCCAATATACACGGCGTCGGCCACCTGCACGTTGCTCTCGATGGGGAAGTGCGTGGGATTCGTGTGGCCATGGCGATTGTAGAAGTTGCGCGAGTCCACGATCTTGTCCCGCCACTCTCTGGTGTAGTAGTAGGTGCGTGAATCTGACTGCTCCGTTCCCACACTCTCGCCATAGTTGTGCTCGCTGCGGGTGGGGGCTGCTATAGACATTGGAATACGATTTGGAATGTTTGGTTACTTACATCGACTCTTCCACCCACTGATACATTTGCACGCGCCTCCGCAACTTTACGGCCATCAGCTGTATGTTGTAGTCAGGCTCGGTGAGCGGTTCACCCACCAGTATGGGTCCCGAGATATGCACAATACGAGTATCGAAGTTTTGGTCCTGCTCCTCCTCCGTGAACTGTATGCAGTATATGTCATCGTACGCCTCATCCAGAGCCATCATTGTGTTCACCGCGCGGCCCTCATTCCAGTAGAGCACGACGGTGCCTGCTACGAACAGGACCAATCCGAAGATGGAGATGAGCCAGTGTGAGCGAAATGTCTCGTTCAAGGTGGCCATCAATATCCATGTGTTGTGTTGTTGGTGCGGATTATAAATAATACTTAAATTTCCATTAAACAGCTGACGATAACAAACAAATCGAAATCAGCTGATTTTTTTGTGATAAAAAAAAATACTAAAATCCACAAAAAGGATTCAGAATCAAGTGTAATTTTTTACGTTTGTTTTGAACAAAGTAGAAAAGGAAAGGAAACGGGTAAAACTTAATTAATGAATTAGAGGCAGGGCGTTTCGCAGATCGGTACCACCTTCTATGAAAGGAAACAAGTGCAAGCGTGCAAGCCAGCTGCAATCAGCTAAATGTAATTAATGCAGTCAACTGAATACAGTTTATATATATATTATTATTTATTAATTTTATTGCCGGTACTCATTTTAATCATTTAAAAGGAAATAAAAAGCATCTTGATTGCATTTCTGTCCCGCAGGATCGGATTCATCCAATATTGCGGTGTGCATTGTCCTCCTCCAGCTTCCCAGCGCCCACAAATAAGACATTTCTGCTTGCTTTAATGCAAAATTGGTAATTTAAACAGATTTCCGTTTTGTAACAAACACTAAACAGTGTAACCGTAGAGCATGCAGTTTGACCACCGAGCGGAATAGGTAGCACTTTCCGGTCGGCGGAAAATTTAGCGCGTCTGTTTGTTCGGCTTAAGTAAAGGTGTCCTGTCCAAGGGATGGGAGCAAACTCGAACGACTTGTTGAATGGCGGCAAACAATAGAATTGAAATTTATTTACTATTTCCTGAATCGCGTTGAGTCGAGTCAAGCCAAAGTCAAATTTTACAAACTTTTCATAAAACATAAATATCACTTTACTGTCGACTTTGTAACTCATTGAAAACACACAGAAAATATATTAAGATGATGTTTGGTATTGGGGAAAAGGAAAAATTTTGGTCTGGTTTTCGTTTTATTGTTAAACATAGGCTTCTTACAAACAAATGAATAACAATCAAAATTAAGGCTTGAAACGTTTCAACTAAAGATTAAAATTATTTAACAAAATAACTATGTATAAATGTCAAGCCGTCTTTCTTGCTTCACAATAAAACCAATAAAGATACAAAAGAAACATATTTGGACAAAAAATCACGCAGAAATGTCGCCCTGAAAAGGCAGGCGCACTTTCACTATATATCATCCATCATACTATATCATATCCTACGAGTAGATCTCGTAAATGTGGTGTTTTGTGTATGTTTGTTGCCTCTCTGCAGAGCGAATAAAATTTAAAAATTGAAATCTTACTACATTGAATATATGTATATAAAGTTTTAATATTTAGCAGGCTATCACTGACGAATAACGTTGTTTGCAGGTTTCCTTTTTGTTTTGTTTTTTGTTTGAATGAAGCGATTTGAAACAATTGTGAGAGCCCCTCGAAAGCTCGAAATTAGATTTGTTTAACTAAATTAGGAATACGGTACGCTAGAGTATGGTTGTTTTGTCATCGTGTGGATTTTGGGGTATTGTTAGATAAATACTAAGGTTTAGGATTATTCCATTCGCTAGCCTGCACAATAAAGTAGTTTATACATTATGCGTATTTAGATAGAACTGTTAACTGCTAAAAATATATTTTATAATGTATCATTTGCACTTCTCGTTCCATCCGAATAATCGGATCGGTCGGCCTCAACGTTGACTAACATGCCACACAATCAAGTAGCTCTTGTCGCCTCGATTCTCGATCGTTTGATTTGGTTCCAGTTGAATACTGTTCTCCATGTCATTATCATCTGCAAAATATATAGTTGGCAGAGCATTAATGGATGTGTGGAATGTGTATCTGAAATATCGGTGAGTGCGACACAACTGTGGGATGAATTATTTGCATTTGAGGATTGTATTCAGTTGCAGGGTCCCCCAAAACATTTGGGGGAGTTCCTTGTTTTAGTGAAAGGTGCGCCCACATTCTTTGATAGTTTCAAGAAAAGTCTTTTTACATTTGGAAAGAATATTAAATTGAGTAATGAGTAAATTATAGCTTAAACAGATTTGCAAAAATATGCGAGCCGATTAAATGTGCTCAAAGGACAAAGGGACACGGTACACCAATGGGACCAAAATTTGTGGAGGAACGACATCCATTTTGTTGCATGTGCAAGGACAAAGGACAGGTTTAGAGGTGCGGGTAGCATGTACTGTTCGTTCAACAGCTTCACATTAAAAAACATGAACCAAATAAAAAGAAAACTTGCTTAAGTTCAGGTCACGGATGAGACAAATGCTGCATTCCACTTGGAACCGGAATACGCAGACGAGGAGGAGAAGGAGGAGCTCATCTCCTCATCACAGGGCGGACGAACTACAAGTTGAAGGTACTACGGGCGAAGGCAGAGAATGCAAAAATAAATCGGATTAAAAGAAAGGCAAAATAGAAATTAAACAAAAGAAAGACGTAAACAAGAAGCGGATAAAGATAAAACGAAATAAAGTTAAAACAAAACATAAGTCAATCATAAAATTAATAAAAATAGAAAAATTAAAGAAAGCGAAAGAATAAAATGAGGCTTACGTATCGACTTTCCAAACTATCAAATGCGCTGCATTATCGCTAGCATCAAATTTATCATGTCCTGCAGATGGGAGGATATGGAATATGGAATGGTTATACATGGCTGTTGGTTGTTCTTGTGCTCCAACCAGACTGCGTTCCAGCTATAGCTTGGATGCCATGTCCTGTTCGGCAGGAGTGCAGGACTTACTTATGCGAAAATCGATGTAGCCCTCGCCACCACACATGACCAGCATATCGGGTCTCCTGTTCACGAAGGTCAGTCCGCCGCTCAGGTTCGGCTGCTGCAGCATCGGCACGGACACAAAGAACTTGACCGCATCGCGGTGTCCGTGGAAGGAGAGTTGAGCATTGGCCATGCAGCACAACGGCATCTGGCCATGGGGATCGGCTGAAATCAAAAAAGGGGGACCCATTAGGATTATCTCAGGAAGATTGTCTTCTCCTCCTCTCACATGATGTCTTCTGCTGCACTTCAGCCAAAGGTACCGAGATGATCACGCCGTTGCTGGTTCCGATCCACAGGCGGTTGCAGGAGACCATAAGAGCGGTGATGCGGACAAAGCTGAAGCCCAGCTTTCCAGTGCCGAGCATTTTGGACACATACGGCTCAATGTCCACGTCCTGCTTGTGCTCAAACGTATGGGTGTTGTACAGACGGAGCGTGGAGTCCAATCTAAGGGAAAGAATCGGGCAATCCATTTATGCTGGGATTCTGATTCTGTGACAAGAACTTACCGTATGGATACCCACACACCAGCACCTGTGGCCGCCATCTGCCTCACCTGGCTCTCCTTGCGGGGATGCGCGTCTAGCGAGTGCACAATGTTGAGCGATATGGGGTCCACAATGAAGATCTTGTTGCGATGCGCCGCCCAAATGCGCTCGCCTGCCACACAGAGGCAACGTATCGAATGATTGCGATCACCGAGCGTCACCAGGTGATAACTATTCAGATCCCATTGGCCGTCTGTCTGGCGGCGGAACACGGCCAACTGGGCATTGGCCAGCGCCACAACAACCCTCGCATCCACATGCACAATCGCCAGGACGGCATCCGGCAGGAGAACACGGTGCAGGCACTCGTGCCATCGGCCCACCCCGCTGTGAACGTACAGCCAGCCGTCTTGGGCCCCCATCCACATAGTCGGTCCCACCGAACTCATGGGCGGATCCTCGCGCTCCTTCGTCCCCAGAATGGGGTTCAGCGACTTGGTGCCAAAGAGAACACTGTTTCGGTTGCTGCTGCTGCTGTTGTTGTTCGCCTGGTTCTCGTCGCTGCTGTTGCGGCTGGAAAGGCGCTGGGGAGCGCCCGGCAGGGCTTGGCGTATCTTGATGGCCTCCACATTGACGAGCGGCTCCTCGGAATTACCGGGCGGCAGTGGCTCAGTGGATTTCTCCGTGGCCTCCTTGGCTTCCTCTTCGTCCTGCTGCTGCTGGAGTTTGCTGTTGCTGTTCTGCTCGTCCTCGGACTTGGGCTTCACGCGCACAAACTCCACTTTACCGAGTAGCTCTATGCCCTCGCCAGGCCGCTGCAGCATCTCGCCCGCCTTGACCACCTCCGACTGCTCTAGTAGCGCGTAGTCGCTCTCCATGGCACCCTGCACGGAGGCGATGCACAGCAAGTGGGAGGAGCAAATGGGAAAGGCATCCAGAACGGTGGCCGACTGGTTGGCGTCCACCACGCTAACCGTGCTAGCCGCGTGGGTGCTCGTACAGATCCACACGAAGGAGCTAAGCTGCGTCTCCGGCTCCAGGGTCTCCAAGCTAGCGCGGGCTATCTGTCTGTCCAGCGCCTCAACGCTCTGCTCCGCCGTGGGACTCGTGATCTCTGTGATTTTAAGCGTGGACTTGGGCGCGTATGGCGAGTCGGCGGGTATCAGCGATTGGCCGTCTTTGGTGAAGCCTCCGTGGAGGTTGACGCCGGCCGCGCAAAACACCTTCATATGGGGCGAGGCCTCGGCCAGGGGATTGCAGTAAACAGGCACCGGCACCCCGCCCGAGTGCCGGCTGGGATTTGCCTCCTGGTTGGTTTTGTTGATTGGCAAACTCCAGCCATACGCGTGCAGGCGACCGTCCTCCTTTTGGACATGGGCGCGCAGCTGCCGGTACTGCTCCCGCCTCCTCGCACTGATGCGCTCCGAGCCCCCGTCCTCAGAGTAGTCCTTGGGCATCACCAAAGCATTGGCGAGCCCTGCGCTCGCTGGATGCATGGGCGGCAGGGAGTTGGCTAGGGCAAGGCGATTGTCCCCACTTCCACGGCTTGGGGATCCGTGGCTGTGGGCAGGACTTCCTCCCCCGGTGTGACGAAACATCGGCCCCCCTCCCAGCCCATCGGCAATGCGTTCTGTCGGGCGATTGGAGGGTCTATCATAAAAAATAGCGATTAATACATTGATTTCTGGGTCTTAGATTGCAGTTTGTGGTTGAAACTCACGTAAAAAGATTACTAAAGTACTTCCAGATGCTCTGCTTTGATTTCTTGTCCAAGTGGTCGACGGTACGCGAGGCGCGCAATATCTCCGTCAGACGCACCGCCTCCTGCAGCTCCATCAGACGCTCCTTGTACTGGTTGCGCTCCATGAGGACCATGGCCATCTCCACGCGAGTGAAACGCTTGCGCTGTGCGAGCGGCACATCATTCTCCTCCTGTTCGGTGTCTGCAAACCGCGAATTGCGTGAAATATTGTGGCTTCCAACTGCAGTGGGCTCGACTTACTCTGTTGCTTCACCTGCTCCTTGGTCTTCCTGAGCTCCTCTTCCAGCTCGCTAATGCGTTGCCTGAGCTTCGTCCTAGACTGCTGCATGGCACTCAGCTCCTCGCGCACAATTTCCACTTCGCCCGTCAGCTCATCCACTTTGACAATCAGATCGTCCTTGACAATGTTCAGGGCATTCCTATGGAAGGGGAGAGAGGTTGGGGATGAATGAGATTCAAAAGATTGGGGGAACAGCAGAGAGAGAGACTGAGATATTTACTTTGTTGCCAGCAGCTCATTGTTCTCCATGATGAGATTTTCCACTTCCTTGCCCATGCCTGCAATATTTATGAAAGATTTATTAGAAAAGAGATATTTATAAAAGAGACAAAAAATATGAAAGCATTGGGAAAGCATCCAAAAGTTGAACTCAGTGTTGAATTAATGGATGATAAATGATAAATGGGAGACGGAAAATCGAAACTTAAAAGAGAAAGGATATGGAAAACTAAAACCAGATATGATATACATAAGTATGGCTAACAAACCAAGAGAAGAACAGAAGAATTATATAACCAACGTCCTAAAACCAAACACAAACACCAAAAGATTTTGAAAATTAACCTTAGAGTCATGCCAATGATTCTACGATAACTACTTACGGTAGAAGCAAAAGAGTAAATGGGAGAAGATCTATAGAATCTACTATTAATGATCGGATCTCTCACGATCCCTGCAGCTTCTTCAGACTTACCAAAATAGTTGTCGTTTGCTTCAGGGATTCGAATATACAATTATTTGTGTGTGGTTTGGTGGTGGGAGGATATTCAAAATGATTTGTGGTGGGGATAAGTAGAGTTCGGCATAAAAGAAAGAGAAATTTCATTAGATTCGGATTATACAATTTTTTATTTGTTTCAAGTTTTTTAATTTTTGTTTGCCTAATGGATGGGACACACTTTCTCGAGCACATGGTACGGATAATTTACAACAGATATCACAAAGAAAACACACACAAACTCTAGCTAGAGCAGAAGATCCTTAGTTTTCAGTCGATTTTCGCATGATATTTGATGTATTTACAGGTTATATAGATGAAACCATATATGTAGGAGTCATATGGCTGTAGCTGTGCTTGTGGTGCAGTTTCTTGCACTTCTACATGTTCTGGCTGTGGATGGTCTGAGATTTGGTTTTGGGTGTGGTGGTGGTACCTACCTGAGGATGCGTACTCTCCGGGATGTACCCAGCAGCCTTTACAGAAGGGATTCGTGCCACCGAAGAGTTTAGATGCGTAATCCACACGTTTATAGTAGAGGTGGAAATGGAAAAAGGGAGAGGAAAAGTGACATTTAGTAATACTGTGAATGATAGTTAACCCGAAACCCTAGACACATGAAATCCGCTCTCCATTCGAACATACGACTCTCCTCTCTCACCTGTAACAATCTCATTCTCTTCGCTCTCTTCATTGTCCTGGAAGGACAGCTCTTGGTAGAGATTATTGTCCGAGCGCTGTTCCTTTTTGGTGGTCGAGCGACCAACTGATGGACGCAAGGGATGGGGAAGCATTGAAGGTTTGTTTTGATTTTTAGTCGAGTTAACACATAAATCAAAAACAAAAGAGAGTAAAGAGTAGACAAATTAGTACGGTGCGTGAGTGGCAAAATGGCAAAGAAGCTTCAGAGGCTGGGTGCACCTACCGTTTGCTGGAGGCACATTTGGCACAACGGGACTGGTGCCGGGGGGACTCTGGGGCGAGGTGGCCTGATTCTGCTGCTGCAGCGCATCGGTGGCGGCACCACGCTCCGCAGTGCTGGGCAGGCTCATATCCAGCTCATTCTGCAGCGATGGCGGCCCCGAGTCGTCCGACTGGCTGCCCACGCTGCAAATGGTCTCGGTGTCCAGCATAACGGAGTTCTCCAGCGAGGCAAAACCATAGGAGACAGGGCCCGAGCTACGGGCCACGGGATTGAGGCGCGCACGACTGACCTCCATGCGGTCGGAGGCGGTGCTCATTTGTGAGTGCGTGGAGCCCATCAGCATCTTAGTGCGTTCCATGTAGTCCACATGGTTCTTGAACAGCTCTGTGTACCTCTCGTGCAGTTTGTTGTATTCCTGAAAACATCAGGCATGGCAGGGTATTGGTTTTTTTTAATTTACATTCCAGTCCACTCACCTTCTTGAGGTCCGTCTCCCGCTCCTCCAGACGACTGGCATGCTCCAGGCTGTTTTTGTGCTTCAGCTCCAGCATCCGCACAATGCTCTCAACGGACTCGAGGCGCGTGGCCAGCTCCTTATTCTCTTGCTCGGCCAGGTCCTCAGCCTCTAGTAGCTGCAGGGGACAAGAGGAGATTATTTCGTTGGCCTTTGATTCCCTCCATTCGACTCACCTTCTGTTCGGACTGTTTTCGGGCGCTCTTCTCCCGTTCGTACTGCGTCACCAGCTGCTCGTTGTCCTCGCGCAGCAGCTCCACCTCGACATCTTGCTCCTGGTTGATGCGATACGACGCGTCCAGGCACTCCAGCACGTTCACCAGCAGCGGCATCAGGTTCTTCACCACGTCCTCATCGTAGCGATTGATCATCCGCTCAAACTCCTGATAAATGCTACCCGCCAGTTGCTGCACCTACAAGGATGCGCGTGACAGAGTAGGAATAGAGAGGGGGTGCATCAGTCTCAATTGGTTTTGATTGGGGTTTGGGAGTGAGTAAAATGGGAACACGGACGGTGCAATTGATTGATTTGTAGGGTACAAAGAGAGAAGGAATATCTGTATTCCTATGAGCAGACAGACGTAGATATTGATGCCGATTTAAGATGGTCGGTATCCTTTTATTCTATGAAATTAGTACAAGAGTTAAGGGAAGTAGCAAGAACGAGAGATAGTTGGGGATCTCCCATTAAATGGTTTTAATTTTGATGAATGGAAAGCTCTTCGAATATGACCTATTGAGAACACCATTAAGACCCCACACGAAATTAATGAATGAAGTGAAAAAGTCAGAAAGAAAACTACACCCTCCCTTAAAGGGAAAAAGTCCAAAGTGGTGACACCTCTTGCAGGTCTCTCACAATTGTTAGTTACAGAATAAAAATAGAAAAAAAACAAAACGTGCAAAGTATTATTTGCAAATTATTCTAGCGTGCATTTTCATATGTACAAATCGGAGGTAGGTGAATAACAGAATAGTGAAACGGAAGAATAGTGAGAAACTAAAAATTTAGGATAACTCACGATGCTGACAACCTGACCATTCTGAAAGAGAAAGAAAAGAACAAAAACAGGGTGTAAAAAACACATAAAAAACCATAACTTCAACTATTAAAATTACTAATCAAATTAAAATTTAGAGGAAATAAAGGCTTCGTACATGAATGGAAATCGGGAAACCCATGGGAAATGAGATTTAGATACAAGAAAAAAAAAATATTCTTACAAAATTTAAATGACTTATAAAAATGAACGTTGATAGGGATTATCGGATTATCGTTGATTCGGGTATTATTCTAGGATATATTCCTTCGCCTTATGATAAATAAATTCCCTTCGCTACCGAAACTCCGCTGTTAGGCCAAGGCTACCTGGAACATACTTATATAAGGTCAACTACTCGTAGCTATCGTCATGCTTAAATATTTGTAAACATATTTGGTGAGACCCGTTTTTAAAATACTTCTTGCAGTTGCTATTGTTGGCCTAAACGAGTTTCTGTCGCTTGAAATTGATGGCAACCAACTCTCCTCATTATTAAATTAGCAGAGAGATACGAAAAGTACGAGTACAGGTGGTGGGGGCTTATCAGGTGGAAACATGTGCTCGAAGAACTGACTAATTCAATGAATGAGCTCATTATTAGAGAGAGGGGAGGAAGTGATTGACAGGGGAAGGGGGAAGGAAGGGAGGGACACCTTAAATAGCACAAGTCGATTACAGGTAATGCTCGAGAAGAGAAGCTGATAAAGTGCAAAATCAATCGGGGAAATTGGGGTGAAAACCGAATAAAAATAAACTCTGTTGGAAAGGAGGAGGAAAAGCGGCATGAGTGGGTTGGCAAAGGGTTGCCTGAGGCGGTCATCAAATTTGAGGGCCGCCGCCGACTGACTGACTGACTTTATTGATTTCTGGTCCCGGCAATGGCACTCTCTTCCTCGCTCTCCTTCTGCATTTCTTTTGCTCTCTTTCTCTCTGTGTGCCCATGTTGGGTTTGCTTTGCTTTTCGCTAGTTTGAATGTCAATGACCACATTTGTGGGGGGTGTCCGACCCCCAGTGGCTTTAGCGTCAGCTGATGCATGATAAGCAATTCTGAGATGCGTTTTTACATTATGAGGGGGTATCCATATACAGAGAGAGAGAGAGAGAACTGTAGAGAAGAGCATGTTTCCGCTTGGACACTTTTATAGCCTCATTATCTTTCGCTTGTTTGTGGAGAGACCCGAATCGAAATACAAGAAAAGATTATATACTGAGCATTAGAAGAGAGTCTTATCGAAGCTAAGGGAAAATCAGTGGGGGACCATGTAGCCCGCATGAATTATTTATATTTACAGAGATTCCATGCACAAATGATATCATTTTGTGGATAACACATTCGTATATGTATGTATATGTATAGGTACCTTTTCCGACATGACCATATTGTTGTCCTCCGTGCCATAGACCGTCTCCGCTCCCGACTGCGGACCACCGTTGTTGAGGAGCGCATCGTCGTTGTCCATCATTTTGAGGGAGGGGGGGGGAGACTTTTTCGAGGTCTGCGCCTGGACGAAAGTGGGTAGGAGAAGGGTGGGGGGGTAGACAGCCTTGCTGTTTTTGTGTGGGATCTCACGTCACGCGTTAACCGTTATGCAGGCAATAGCTTTTCAACCCCAACAACAATAATAGAATATATTCTACGGTACTGCGTGTGGGTGTGTTTGTTTGGTGGCTGCAACCAGAGACAGCGAGTGCGAGATTTGATCTGAATGCTCGCTTTTGTTGCTCTATATTTTTGTTTGGTTTGATCTTGCCTCTCTCCTTATTACACTATATTTAATATATTTTTGTTGTTGTATTTGCTGTCTGCCTTCTGCGTGTCACTTTATTTGCGCTTTTCGTTTTGGTCTTGCAGTGGTTGTTGTTGTAGTCTCGTCTCTTCCCCATCCATTTACACCGTTTTCTTGACTAGGTTTCATTTTTTTTCGTCTACGTTTTGCGCTGCATTTTCGTTAGTATTTCGTCTGGATTTCACTTCACGGGCCTGCCCGACCATGTGATGAGTTTTATTACGCGCTTTTTTAGGCTAAACTGTAGAGTTTATATTGTTTTTTAGCGCATTTTTGCAATAAATATTGCAACCAGCGCAGTGTGACCGCGGATTTATTAATAAAATATACCACCTGACCCTCAGAAATATACGAAAATCTACCTTCGCATTTGCAAAACATACCGAAAATATACCGAGGGATACCGGTGCAAAGCAACAAAAGAAAAAATTTTAAACAAAAATGTATAACAAAAGAGTCTTTTGTAGAAAAACTTAAAAATCTGGTTTTGAGCCTCGAAAAAGGGATCTTGAAGGAGCAAGAAAACGTTCGGCAGCTCAAATTAGTCACAGGGGCCATGGAATTGGACTTGGAAGTCCCTACACTACACTGCAGGGACCATATCTGTAAATATGGAAATTACAGTCAATGTGATTGGTAGGTTGTCGATTTTCGTTGATGTTCTACAGTCCCTGCAGGGTCCAATCGATGCTCCGTAAATATGGAAATTACAGGGTCTTATTTACCAGGTGAGACTGGTAATTCTCCTTTCATAATAATATATTTATTTGTAGAATACAACGAAAACCGACAACCGACCCATCACATTGAGGATGATGATCATGGACCTGCAGGAGGGAGGTGCGCGAGATTAGGGAAGGCCAAAAGCAGCTGACAGAATGCCAGAAGCGCATCCGTGATCTGGAGCAGAAAAATCAGGTAACCAAAGGATATACAAATTGGACAGATGCAGGCCACACGCTTGAGTCACCTCACACTCGTCATGGCCGCTGCCATCGGGCTGCTGTTAAATACTGAATGGTTAATGGCTTAGGCATATTTTACAAGGAATGCAATATCATCTAAAAATAGATTATCAAATATTAGCAAATATATTCCGTTGGTCATCATGTACATACATTTCTTTATTATTCAGCTTATGTAGGCCTATTGTGAGTGTAATTTTAATGCTAACTGGCAACCACAACGTCTACATCATGCTCATCTTTGTCAATGCTTAGTTCGAGCACAGCATCCTCTTCTACAGACATGGCTTTGGAGTCTTCCGTAGAGACGGAGGGTAGTTTGACTTCTCTTCGGACTCCGTCGAATTTGGTAGGGCTGCTATTATTAAGATCATTGTCTTCGTCGTCGCTGACCTCCATTATGCCATTGTTGTCGTCCAAGTCTGGCTGTGATGTGGGATCGCTCTCGCTGGAGGATGACGACGAGGACGAGGAGCTGTTGTCCTGTTCTAATTGTTGCTCCAATTCGTGGATACTGTACATCAAAAGAGTAAAATCATTCCGACGCTTCTGGAACTTGCGCTCCATTTTGAGTTTCTTCTGTATAAGGTCATCAATCTCTTTTTTAATGATCTCGATTTGCTTCTGAGTGCCATTTCGATCGGGTTGCTGCTCTATGAGCGAGGCCAACAAATCATATTCCATTTTGTTTTTACGTATTTTCTTAGCTGTCACTAGCTCCTTCTTACTGGCTTCGATCTCCTCCTTGGCAAGTTCGATGCTCTCCTCGTGCTGTTCCACCAACTTGCTGTAGTTCTCACGTTCTTCTTTGATCATTTGCAGAGTCTCCACATTTTTCAACGCAGTCAGCTTGCACTGGGCAAATTGAGCCATCAGCCGGTCATACATAATTTGGCTATAAAATAAATCAAAGGCTACATTTTGCGCCCCACTCTCGCAGCATTTGCGTACCGTACCTAGTTTCCGGCGAGTCGTTTTTGGAGTTTGCATATTTGAGAAACTGCTTCAGCAGCACATTCAAGCGTCGGTCCTCCCCAGTACCGTCGCCATCAATAAGTAGTCGCTGCTTTATAATTTCCTCTGTGGATATACGTATATTTGATAGAACTAGTTGTATATTTTCCTTAATAATGAGCAATTATTTACTTACCGTCGTTCATTTTTATACCGGAGCGGCTGGCTGCTGAAACTATCGATGGATAATAATAAGTGTGCCCGTGTCTGCCAGTCTATCGAAAACAGACAGAGTGATTTCACAATTTGAGCAAATTTATTTTGTAAAAACACATTAAATCGAAAATAAATTTCACATGTTGAAATCGGGCGTTGATGTGTGCGGAGACATGGAGAGAGAATGCCGCAGCGCAGGCAGTGCTCCAATGAATCCGACGTCGGAGACCGTTCAAACGCCTTCAGGGCCCATCGACACCGATTTGCTGCGTGCACGGTCCCAACTCCTGGCGGCACGTCTTCACCAGGCTGGCCGGGATATGGAGATACAGTCGACATCCAATGTCCCTGATGCCGCAAGTAACTTCATGCGTATCAACACATCACTGCCACAAACGCTGCCATTAGATATGCCGCCCAGAAGCGCACTTGATCCAAAAATATCGTGTAATGCTGCACAAGCCCCTATTTTGGTCGCGGTTCCAATGCAGTATAACTTGCCAGGATCATATAACACTGCAGTGCCGGTGCAGATGCCAATGCACGCAGCTCCGCCCCAAATGCAGGCACATATGAAGTCGGTAGCCCAACGACCTTGTAAGGAAAAGAAAAAGTCTAAGCGAGCACTCAGGGAGGAGGTAAACGCACTGCAGGAGCTAGTTCAAAGGATTTCCCTGGTCTCTTCAGATGTCAATACATACGCGGGTAGCCTCATTCGCCAAAGTGATGTGCTGTCGCAGCTAGAATGGATATCCCCTGGAGATATGGACCGACAACAGGTAGATATGTCTCCACAATTTGCTCTTCGCCAGATGCCACGTCGTATTGACGGGGGCAGCGACGTAAATCGAAGGCTTTTGCCCCAGCAAGGGAATGAGGAACGCACACGACGCGAATCGGAAGTGTCGAGCGCAAGCAGCAACAGCACCCCTGCTCAGAAACAAGCTACCAAACAAGAGGGCAAATCAGCGCGCAAGCGGAGAAGTAGGAAATCAGAAGAGGGGGCAGGTGAAAACACTACACAGTCGTTAAAAACCGAACTGGAGGCGATGCGTGGATATATCAATACGATTGTTCGGAACTACATAGGTGCGGAATACAAACTTCCAGCAGATTTACGATTTTCTGGGGACTTTTCCGACCTGGAGGCGCATGCGAAACGTCTTGCAAATGAAGGTTTCGGTCGAATCGTTGAGGATGAAATACGAGTGAATCGCAAGAACAACAAGCAGGCATTTATTACAATGTCCACTGATCGTGAAGGTCTCGAGCGTGACGGTATTGTAATGTTGCCAGTGGCTCGACGGTACGCCTTCGAAGGAGATACAGTGCGGGCCTTTGTTCTGAATGTTGGCGCTCAATCCTTGCCCCCAGGTAAGCTTCTTGCTCCACAACCGACACAACCAAGCCCTGACTCTGTTTCACCTCTTTCCACTGACAGCCGAAGACGAGGAGTTCTCCGATGAGACAGCGTCACAGAACTCGGACGCCGATGCTGACAATGTGGTCGTCATATCGTCAGATAACTGCCCCAAGGCCTTCGTCATAGCGATTGTCAAGCAAACGGAGCTTCGCCAGATTGTCGGTTCTATATCGTTTACCAATCCAACGCAGCTGTCTAAGGCTCAACTGTTTTACAAGTTTCGCCCCTTTGACCTGCGCTTCCCGATGGTCTACATACCGGAAGAGACCTGTAGGAAGCACATAGGAAGCAAACAGGCTGCAGAAGTGTGTGGCCTGCTCTACTTAGCCCACATTCTCGAGACTGACTGCAACGGGCACTGCATTGCTGAATTGGTTCAGCCGGTGGGCCGCATTGGTAATTTGCCGGACGAACTCAAGGCTATTATGATTCACAACAGCTTGAGCGATATTAAACCTTTCGAACAACGATTTAACGACATGTTCGTAAACACCATTTCTCCTGGGAGCACAGAAGATCTGGACCAACGTTGGGACTTGCGGGAGAAATGCATATTCACCATAGATCCACTGACTGCGCGTGACCTGGACGACGCAGTCTCCATTGAACAGGTAGGAGATAACAAGTATGAGGTCGGCGTGCACATATCGGACGTGTCTCACTACCTGCGAGAGGACTCCGAGCTGGACAATATCGTCAAAGAGCGTTCAACGTCCATATATCTAGCCAACGAAGTTATCCACATGCTTCCCCAACCGCTGTGCATGCGCTGTTCTCTACTGCCTGGTGAGGATAAGCTTGCATTTTCGGTGTTTTGGCGTATGGATAGAAACGGGGTACAGCTTAACGAAAAGCCAAAGTTTACGCGGACTATTATTAGGTCTTGCACGCAGTTTGCCTACGAGCACGCTCAAAAGATCATCGACAATCCGCACGAGCGCTTCACTGAACACGATTTTCCCACCATCCTAAACGGCTTTTCCGCTAATGACGTAGTAAAGAGAGTGCTGTGCCTTCATGGCATTGCGAGCTCACTGCGTAAAGCACGCTATGAAAAAGGGGCCATTAGCTTCAACAATCCCAAGCTACGCTTTATACTTGATCCCGTCAGTGGCGAGCCAGAAGACTTTGAAGTAGAGAAGCAGAAAGAGGCGAATCGCATGATAGAAGAGTTTATGCTTTTGGCCAACCAAGCTGTGGCGCGCTTTATACATGACTCGTTTCCAGAGATTTCTGTGCTTCGAAATCACCCGCCGCCACTTATGAAGTCACTAAAGGCCTTGCGGGAGAAGTTTCAAACCTTGGGATTTCATTTGGACTACAGCTCTTCGAAGGCGCTTCAACAGAGCATCGTGAGATTATGCCAGGAGGCCTCCAATCCCCTTGCGATGAGCTTCTGCCTCAGTCGCTTGCTGATGAAACCGATGGCGAGGGCTAAGTAAGTAACGCTGCCGTTTAGACCCTCGATGCGTTTGACTCTGAATATTACTCTTCAAACTCCAGCTACTTTTGCAGCGAAGGGAAAACAGAACCGGCCGATCTGTGGCACTATGCCCTATCCATTCCCATCTACACCCACTTCACCAGCCCGATTCGTCGCTATCCCGACATAATGGTCCATCGGTAATGGTCGTGCATTTCCATATTTTTCGTTGATTCACAAAATAACTCTTTATCTTCTGTTTTAGTCTACTGGCAGCTTCGCTTAACTACTGCCCGCCCCCGTGCCGAACTACCGCAGAGCTGCACTCGCTGACAAAAATTGCGAACGAGCGCAAGTACAATTCCAAAAATGCAGGCGAGGAGTCGTGCAATTTGTACTTTAAGCGATACGTGAGCAACAAGCAGCGAGTCTGCATGACCGCTGTAGTCATGGAAATATACCAGCACATGATGAATGTAGTTACCCTGGAATCGGGGCATGTTATCAGCATTAACTACAAAATGCAGAAGGTCCTCGTGGACACACAGAATGCGCCTAACTTTTTATTGGTCGCAGAACGCAACGTGAGGCAGCCACCCCGGAAGTTGCAGATCCTTTCCGTAGTACCCATATACCTTACGATATGGGACAGCAAGTTGACTGGCTTTCTGCATACGGAGAACCAGCTACAGCCACTAGATGCGCCCAACAATCAGCTCAGCGTCAAGAAAAAGCAAAAGTCGCTGCACAATCAGCAACAACGACCGACCAACAGTGGCACTGCCAATAATTTATGCCCTACTACCTCAAATGTGGTTGAGCCTCAATCCCAGGCACAGGTCCTCCACCAGCAACAAAACCTGGCGGCGCGAATGCGCCAGCAGCTCGCACATCAGCAGCAACACCACCCAAACCCACAGCAGCGGATCTATAGCATGCGCCAAAACAGTTTATAACTATACTATTTACAAGTATAGCTTTATTATTTGCCCGCAGTCGTTAACAATACATATCTGATCCGAAACTTCCTGCCAAAATTGATGGACACCATTGTTTACACCTAGCTAGGCAAGAGCTGGGCCTAAATTAAATCTGTGATGCCCATTCTAGTTATGCATAGCAAATGCATATCTCAATGAGCTCTGTAGAAATTAATGTGTTTTGTTTACATTTTAACGCTTGTAGAAAAACAATCAAAATTGCAGAATGAATGTCCCAAACAATAAATCAAAGTCGCACAACTGTCAGTGTCTCATTCGCATGTATGGTATACAGAATACACAAAGAAATATATTCTGGCCGTCCGGTTTCCGACACTCTCATTACAAATAAACATTGATCTCTCAATACTGGCTTATCGATTTAGAAGTAAATTAAGTTTTCTTTTTGGCAGTTTCGCTCTAATAAAAATACTCCTTACGTGTATATTTATATGTAATACAAATTAAATAAAAAAGCAGAATCGATTATATTTTACAAAGTCTATTAATTTAACAGCGCCGCCTTGATTTTTGAAAACGATTGTTGTCCTACAAAGCAGATGCAGCCCTGCCCAAGTATGTTTTTCGATACTTTATAAAATGCAACCCCGAACTCCGATGACTGTCTTGCTTGGAAAAAGTGGGGTGCAATTTTTAAAACTTATTTACCAATAAACGAATCAGCACGACGAATCAGCTTTTAATCCGCGCATTTAACTTGGAAAAGGGTTTGCTCTTAAGCGGCTTTTAACCCTCCAAGCCAAAGGCACTGCTGGAAAACAGAGTCTTTCGTAGGTACTACCGACGCCGACGTCGCGTAGCAATACGTTTCCCTGCTGCGAGCAAAATTATAAAAAGGTCGCTGCTCGGTTCGCTCGTTACAGTTATCTGGTGTGCGTTGCAGCGATACGTCATAGTTGTGTACGACCGACAATCTAGGCAGCAGTAAAGGTGTGTGTGTGTTTGTATACCAAATATTTTTTCTGAAATCATCTGAATATACAAGTTAACAAAAAAGTATCAAAATGGTTGCATACTACGATGAATGCGACGCCGCAGAAAATCCCAAAACATTAACAGATTGGGTGCGTAATTTTCGTTTAAAACGAGTTCAAATGCGTCGCAAATTAAGAGGTGCTGGCAGCGATTTGCGCGTGAACGCCATTTTGTCGACGGCTCTACTACATGCAGAGCACGAGCTGCGTAGAAAGCAACAGGAAAGATTTAGTCGTTGGCTAGATATCCAAACCAAGTTTGTGCCACATGGTAAAACCCATTGTGGTAGTGACGCTGAAGCTGAAGCCAATGCTAAAATAGGGGCCGAAGCAGAAGAGTGCGAACGACGTAAAATCGAAAATAATTTGTGGAGGAGTGAGCTAAGTGGCCTCGACAATTTTATGCGTAGCCTAAGTAGCACCAACAACAACGCCAGCAACAACGGAAACCGCAGCAGCAGCTACAGGAACAGCAACAACCAACACAAATGCTCTGCCATTTCAGTGAGCAGTTAGAAAGAGACAAATATATGGGAGCCAGATTTTGTGTGTATACATGAAATGGAAAAAAAGAAAGGCAGGATGTTCGAGATTCATCTGTCGAAATAATTTTTTCTGTGTCGCCTTAAATTTATTTGTTCATTTGTTAAATTAGTTTTATTACGACAACCCAATTTCTCATTTGCAGTCGCAATCATGTGCAAGGCTGTTATAGATTGTAATGAAATAATGAAGGATTGGAAGAGTGTGAGAGGACGATGAGCAAACGGCCTTCAATGCATTGAAATGGTGTGAGTCATTGGCGCTGCTTAAATGAAATCCATGCTGAACGCCACCAGAAAGAGGCTTTGGTTCAGGATTCACACTCGGTTTGTAAATCAGTATACTATTACCACCTAAGTTATGTAGCTTCATGCTTTCTAACGAAAATGAGAGGCGTGCGCACACAGTGATAGGCGACATTTATCCGAACGACATGAAATTTCCTACACACACGCACACAAACGTGTTTCTTTTAGTGTGTGCGTCTACTTGTGAATTTTCTGTACACCATTTTGTCCGATTGTGGTTTTGAATAATTGCCAGCAACGTCATTTTCAAGAAATAAAAGTGTAAAAGATATAGGTGATTCATATTGAATCTGTGGCGAGAAAACAAATCAGTTGAGCACAACGAAATCATTCTGTAGCCACGTGAAAAAACAACTTTAATTTATAGATGTAAATACATATACATAGTAAGCATACAGAACTGATATTTGATAAATTATAAAATAAAACTATTGTATTACAAATCAATCAATTTTAAAATCAATGTTGCCTTTATTATTCACTCAAATTTGTCGATAAGCAAACCCTTTCCTCTCTCTCGTTTGTCATAAACTTCTGTCTATAATTGATTTTGTTTTCCAGTTTCCTGCTCCTCGAAACGTTAATGGCAACGATGAGGAGGAATGGAATACTTGAACAAGCAACAACAACGTCAACAGCATGAAGCTGAAACTGAAACCCTATCGAAATGTCATAAACTGGCTTATAAAGAAGTTACGTCGATCATCTTATTGACGATATGGTTTGTTATTGAGTTACTGAGTGAGTCTTCACGTCTGTCCGTGTCTTCCCCAACCTCGACGCTTGGCAGCGAGTTCCGTAAACCAGCCGATGGCCGATTCTACACAAATCGCCGGAGCAGCAGCAGCAAAAACCACCGAGTCTCCCCTGCATGACATGCCAATGCCACAGGCAGCTGACAAAGAACAATGGGGACAAGGCGGAATTGCGAGCGGCAGCAACTCCAGCTCAGCAGCTTGCGTGTGTTTGAAGCTCTCGTGCCCGTGCCGGTGCTGCCATCACCAACTACCACGACATCTCTACATAAAACGCTTCGCTGTTGCTGACCACCACCCACCCATCCACACAGATACACGGTATTTGGTATATCAGCTGCGAACGAAAAATATTGCTTTTTGAACAGATTTACAGCGCAACAATACCGAGGAGTTACAATCATCCAGAAACTAAACTCCCAAGTCATCAAAGCGTCTTCGAACCCTGCAACGCAACGGAACTACGAAACCTCTAAATTTCAGCCAATTCATCGCCGTCTTCGGATCTCGAGGGACTTCAGTTGAATTCTCGCATGTAAGCCGTATGGGATTTTTCTTGTGATTAACACTGAAATGCAGCCATCAGTGTTAGTCAAGCGGTCGCCTATATTGACATTCTTAGGGTATGCTTCGCGGTCGCTCAGCCCGTCCTGTTTCAGTTGGGGAGCTTTTAGGAATGCGAATATTGTTGAAGCTCTTCTCTTTTACCCAATGATTTCACAGATAAGATTCGGACCCTAGCGTATCTTTCTCCATACTCTGTACTTGCCTAACCATTGGGCTATTGTAAGGCCGATTTTAATATTTGTAGCTATGCGTCACAGTCGAACTGTTCCTGTGAGTGTCTGGTGCCAGCTGTTTCTTCTCCATTCGCGCTCGAAATGTTGGATATCTTTGAGAGCAGCGGCTGCCAACCAGATAAGAAATCGTACATTTGCCCCACACACACGTAACTCAGTTTGTTGTTTGGGAACAAGCATCACTTTTCGTTTATTTTCCAGCAATGTGACGCAGTTGAGCGGTACCTGCGCGCATGTGCATGGAGCGTGTGAAGGACGAGAATGCGACAATTTAAATTGGTTTCTTGAATGCGTCGCAAGCCTACAACCTTCGGCAGCAGCAGTCAATGGGATAAATAACAAAGCGTAACTGGTCTTTGAACGAAATTCGAACAAAATGCTTCTTTTGTTTCAAATTCTCTTTTAGTACATATGCGTGTAGCTTTTATGAGCCAGATCCTACAGCTCAACTAACTAATGGTTAGCTGGAAAGAGGTCCGTTTTTCCACCTTGCATACGAAGACATTATACTTCTACGATCGGTATGGGCACACCTGCTTTTGGATATTTCGTTCTTCTTGTAGATATGCATAGATATATAATCCTATACCGAATCATTCTGAAACCGAAGCATTCGTCGTATGGATGGACAGGAGTCGTTTAGCAATCCGCGTATCCGATGTGGTGGAAGATCCAGAAACCGCACAGTTACAAAAGCTAAGACATTGCAATAGAAATCATTTCTTTCATTTTTTGTAGAAATATGCCGCAGTAGCTGCAAGGAAATTTCACTCAAGTCTACGATGGTGGTCCGCCCAGCACATGTAAATTATTTTAAGTGTGTGGAAAAAAAACTTTCTTTATTTTTGTAGGGTTGTGGTTGCCGTAGACCGTGCCTGTCCATGTCTACAACACACTAGCATTGTACAAAGTTTCCACCGAAAACAAGAAGGAGCAATCGACATCTTCAGACAAAGCCATATGTATACTGTCTATTGTCACAGTAGCGCAGCGTTGGGAGCAGGAAAATATGTGTTTTTTCTTAAGTTCCTCTATCTCCTTTCTGACTAAAAATCGGCTTAAATTAATGTATTCATTACAGTGCTGATACCAATCAATCAGTCGGCATAATGGTCGTGGGAAGATCTGACCACACAGTTAAAATTACACGTGCCCTTTCGCCTGTTTTGTTTACCTACCGTGTACATGTAGCAAAATTTCTTGAGGCAATGGGAATCAAATGCCAACTTGAAAGCAATATCACCAACACTCAATTCAACATCCATACAACACGTCGAATTTGCATTGAATTGAAGCTATCTCCCTATCAACAACAAGGTCAGGTCTCTCAATTCAAATATAACCGTTTGCACCTGCTTTTCAGCTTGTGAGAAGGTGAAACAAGGATGGAATATTTTATAGAATCAACTGCGTTTTGGCTTGTTTGTCTGGTTACCTGCCTTGGCACATAGGACTACAGAGTGAGAAATTTTAGTGGTTTTAAATTACCTTTGCACTTCTTGCAGCGATGTTTCACAGTTGAATGTGCCTGTGCGCATCGACTAGGTAGAAACGAAAGGAACTTCTTTGGAGTGGACAAGCTAGCGAGGGACCGGTCAGTTTCTTGTTCTACACAGGGCTCCTAAGAAGTCTAGGGTCGGCGGCTGTTCCTGTGCTGCTGCAAATCGTTAAAGGGAATCAAAAACGATGCATCAAGTCCATCCATTTAGGCTTGACCCAAGCAAGCATACGACCGCCACAACGACAACTGCTTACATTTCACCACCAAATGCCAATGCTACATACTTCAAACGAGCAGAATAAATCGAGAGAACATCGAGTGTAGCAGAAAAACGCAAGAAAGCAAACAAGGCTGTCCTGTCTCGTACGCCTATTTTGAAATTAGATGTAAACTTAACGTTTCTACATTACAGCCAAGTTGTCTGCCCAAAATGGGCCGCTTGTGTCTACAAGGGTGCAGCGCTTCCTAGCACACAAAATGTCGCCGAAAAAGCAATCAACGCTCAGATCAGGCTAGGCCAAGTTTAAGATATCCGCTGTCCAAAGCACGGCCACGGGCGTCGAGAGCGAACTTGGAAACAGTCCTGCGAGCGATGTGCTAGCCTAAGCACGTAATGCAATTGGCACCGCACAGAGATGTGCGTTCGGTCCACGCTAAAGGGAAACAAATGCGTTTGGACCGAGAGCCGCTACACCGCACCATCACCAGCATTCGCTGAAGAAGTGAGCTGATGTGTTGTCGTTGTTACAGGGCTGCTGCCTGCAAGTACGCTATGGGCATACTAGCGTCGTCGTCGCTAACTAATTGTCACTTTCAGCGTTGTATTTTTATAACATCCGGACAGATCAGCAGCTAACGACGTGTAGCCAGTCGTTTATCGTAAATGGGAACCAATTGCGATTAGTGTTCGAGCATCCGAAACGGGAGAAATACAGCAGCCACAGTTCAAGACGGGCAAGATCAGTCAGCTCAGACAGCTTATCAGAGTTTGATGCAGACGTGCAGGTCCCAGATGGAACCAATTTCAACGGGCTGTTGCTTCATTTGTACTTTCCTCCCGTAGGTAGTCCAGAATAAGAGGTACCCATATTCATCGCAAAAGGGAATCAAATGCGATTAGTGTTCGAAGACCGAGCTAGCTAGAGACGCTAACCTACGCTACGCTTTGCCAGTTGAGCCGTTAACTCCTGGCATGACGATCCAATACCGCAAAAGGGAATCAAATGCGAGATGGTACCACAGTCGAGCTCCCCGATGAGCTCCTGGTAAAATTCTTCACTTCAGCACAGCAATCGTAAAGGGAATCCAATGCGATGTACAGCGACAGCGGCAGGCAGGGTCTCAAAGCCCTAAAGGTATAATAGCAGTGTTTTTGGTGCATGTACGCTTTCCAGGAACGGCTATACACCCATATTCACAAATGAGTCAGAACTATTGTCACGCCAGGTCCAGATCCAGGACTGTGTGGTCCACTTGTATACTGCGCGCCTTCCTGCACACTCGTCACGTTGGTCTCAAAGGGAATCCAAGAGACACGCGCCCGCGGTACAGGCCACTTAAACACACTCTTCTTTTGTTTTAGTTTCCTTCCAAACTCTCATTGCAGCTACTCGTATGTAGGCGATATTAGCTCAGTTCTAAAAGAGACTATTTCAGGCCCACATCCAGGATAAACATTGCAATTACTAGCTATCATACTATGTTGTCTTTAAATAACTTGCGTAGATAATGTTATGTTTTGTTGCCTTAAATCTTGTTTTAAATTTCTAATGTAAGATATGTTATACTGTGACATGTAAACTTAAAAGCCAAAGTAGACTTCCCCTGAAGGATGCAACCGGATATCCTTCCAAAGGCTTTGGGAGCGCTCCATGTCGCACATAGACGTACCAGTTGTTGCTGCAGGGAACATTTGAATGGGAGAACCACGACTTTTAGAGCAAGATCCATGGCAGTGCAGTGATGAGGGAGCAGCATACAGATGACATACATTTTTAATCTTTTGGTATCTTCGACCTTGTACAACCTTTGATGCATTTTCAATGTGCTCTTTGAATCATCTAATCGCATCCTGTGTGAACTCAAAAGAAACACTTAACTACTGGGATATTGATAATTTTCGCAACGAGAACCGGTTGAGATGTCTCTGGGAGTCTCCTTCTGTTAAATTCGACATCGCCAAAAGCATTTGCTATCGCTTTCTGGAGCAGCATATAAACTGGTTCGAGATCTCAGATGCAGGTTAATTATCATTATCCTGAACACTTTCATCGACCTGCACCAGTTCTTTCGTTCTTCAACTTCAAACCGTTCTCCAACATTTACCCTTTCTTCGCAACACTGCTGCTGTTGGACACGGTGATCGTCATTATCATTACCGTTGGCGGTAGCATTTAATTATCGCTTCGCTACTGCTAGCTTAAATAATGTGACGTTGACGCTTAACTTTGCTCTGTGAGGACCCTTCGTGAGGAGATTAGATTTTGTTCGTGAATTGCAAGTTTCACAAAATTTGGATTTGACTGCAGCGTGGGATTCAATATAAATAATGACAGCGTGGGTGAAATTCCAAATCGACGGCGGCGAGGGAGTCGGATATATGACTGCGGCGATGGATCCAAACTTCAGGACTGCGGCGTGGGATAAAAATTCAACTACGTGGGATGAATAGGTCATTTAGGCAAGGGCGTTAGGGAAATGCTATTTCGATCGTTAAAAGTGGAATCAACTGGGAACTTTTGACGGCGGCGTGGGAACCAGCAAGCAATTATACAGATGACTTCAACGGCGTGGGATCTGATCAGTTTATGACTGCGTCGTGGGAACTGACGGTGGCGAGGGAGCACTTGATCCCGGCGAGGGAGCACTTGACTGCGGCGGGGGAGATCTCGACTGCGGCGTTGGAGCAATTGACGGCGGCGAGGGATCCTCTTCGGTTTAGAATCATCGGTGGTATTCCAAAAATATTGGCACAACGTAAACTTAGGCAATCACAATATAATTTATTTGATGGTTCAAAGCTGATATACTTGATGATGCCGTGATCACCGTCCTAAAAATATGCTCACCCCTGACTAAGCCTATTTATGGAAAATTCATCATTTCTACACACATATATTTTTATTTTACACTTCTGGAATACCGGAATGCAACCAATATAAGTATTTATACCTATGGTCAAATTAATTAACCGGTGCAACAAAAAACGTAGCGAAATAAATTGTTTTTTTGAAAAAATTAAATAAAAGTGGTTTATTACTTTAAAAGAAGGTATCATCTCATCGTCTTGATTTAGTAAACCATATTAGCGTATGGACTAGAGGTATATGGTTTGCTTCCTCGCGCAAGAGGTAGGTTCGTGAAATTGCTAGTTGACGCGACAGAAGCCAACGAGATATCGGAGTGATGCCAACCGGATGATGAATTACCAACATGTGTATTATTTTCCGCTCGGAAGATACCGGATGGGAATATTTCCAACATAGATGAAGTCGGAACATGTCTTCGAACTTCGCTCGACTGATGTAAAGCTTTAGTATCAGGTGCCGAGCTATAGTAAGTCTGATTGGTGTACATCCATGTTTGATTGTAAACAGAAGCCTGGGAGGACTTATCAAAGCCAGGCTGATAATTGTGCGATGGCCACGTTTGGTTGTAAGTAGGCTGACCCCAGTTTACTATGCTAACAGGACCGGTAACATTTTTTGGCAGCGGTACACTCGATGTATAATTCAATCTTCTGTCTTGGCCAAATAATGTGTTATTCGATCCCATATGGTGCGTGTGTGCTGGCGTAAGGCGAGTCATGTTCGACCGTCGATGTACTTGACTGTGAACTCGAGCTAAAACCATGCCTGGAAGTTGCACGTGGCCAAGTACCAAAGCTGCGTTAGAAGTGGATGTTAGAAAACAAAAAACTCAAACGTAAGTAATTTCGTACCAAAGGTCAATGCGAATTGATAAGATGTTGCCATCCTCATGTGTGCTCGCTGAGAAAATTAGAGTCGAACTGTCTGGTGCTAGTGCTTTCTAGTGCTATTATAGCCGCTTAATAAAATGTATATTTTTCACAACCCCAGGTTATCAGCTTGTGTACATATGTATGTGCGCGTTCATAAACAAACTACATGAAAACTGTTTCACAGTATTTCGATAGTATCCGCTTTTGAAATCGATTTGTTATCCAAAAAAGATCTGTCCATATTTCTTCAATCTTTGGATAGCAGCAGGACGGACCGGTAGAGAACCAACAGCTCACAAATAGCGGAGAAACTAAATATATAACTTTTTTGTACAAAAAATGTGTAGATTGTTTTAAATCAACCACCCTAAATTTAGTGGCGCTAGAAACGAACCAGAGCAGCTTTGATGTTTTCTTGAAGGCCGTTGAAGGGGTGAGTGGAAGAACTATTGGTTTATCCTCCTAATTGATATAGGTTTCCATCTTCTGCTGGCCCATATGGATTTACAGAAGCCGAAATCGGAATAGACCCTCAATTAAACCAATTGAGGGCCTTGCTCAGATTATTCAAATACAGAAAATTGAGTAATTTATTATTAGGAATAAGCATGTATTTTTACAACTTAGCATAAGATGTTTAAGTCTACGGTATGTCAATCAGATCAATAAAAAGACAAAGGCATACGTTATTTATTTACAATTGAATTATTTGTACAAAGGAATAATAATGAGGTGTTCTCTGCAAATTATTAAGATGTCTTCTTAGCTAATTATGATATATAATAGAATATTTATTTATATTACAAGGATCTGCAGTTATATTTCGTAGAATAGTTATTTGACCTTAAATAATAAATAGTATTTACAAATATTTTGTATTTTAATTTTGGTTATACATAGTATGAAAAAATTAAATTATAAACGTTTTAATTGAATAAAATAGCAATGTCTAAGCTTGCAAAGGATTGAATACTTCAGTGATATCAAAACTGGTTTAACTTAAGGTTTAATAGCTTAGCTTATGCTTTTACTAATTACTTTGCCCAAAAACATTTTCGCGAAAGCTTTTGAGTTTTTGCACAAAGTACGATTCTAGTGCTTCAGCACATTTGTAAAAGGACGATTCTTTTGGGTTGTAGTAGCGGCAGTTGTCAAAAATTTTTGTCATATCGCCAATGAAGTCGGCGAGTTTGGTGTACGCTTTTGATTCGAGTTTGGTTTCCATCCGTTTGAGATCTGCGGGGAATAGTATGGTAGTAGTGTTGTAATAGTAATTTCTTTAACTTACCCATTGGTTCCTTAATGACTTTGTAATAGTCTGGCGCTTCATCCGGATCAACCGGCTCCATAAACGGCCAAGCACTTTTGTGCAACTGTGAAAGAAAACATATAGTTGGTATTGACATACATTGGTATTGGTATACAACCAATTAAATGTATATTAAATATTTGTTGTTTTATAACCTGTATTTGTTTAATTAAATCCTTTAGCTCGTTAGTTTCATTGGACGTAAGGGGTTTCATATTGAGTGCGTTTGCATCTGTCTTTCGCTGACAATCAGGGCATACGTATTCATCAATAAACTCAGCTTCACTCTGTAGTATACCGACACAACGGCCATGGAACCAACCCTGGCATTTATCGCAGCAAATATAAAATTGTGAATCATCATATGGTTGACGACAACTACAAAAAAGTTCCTCAGTTTCCCGTGCCTTCTTGCAATCAATGCAAATGAATTCAGAAAGATTTTTCGAAGCTTCTTCAGTTATGCTAACACAATCACCATGAAACCAATTGCTACACAGGTCACAGCCTACATAAAACCTGAGTGTACAAAAAAGCACAAATGATTATATAAAAAGTACAGTTTTTAAATAATTTAAGCATACTTTGTTTCGTCATAAGGTGTACGACAAACGCAATATAACTTTTCTTTTTTCCTTGTTAACTTCTTAGGCCTTCCGACGCCATGTCTGCTGTTGTCCACAATGGATTCTTCTCTTAGATTTCGACTAGTGCTAACTTTGACACATCTGAAAGAACAACAAATTAGATATTATTGAAGGATTCTGTTTACTTACTTACCGCTTTTGTTCAATATTTTGCTCCTCGCGACTATCAGAAAATATCGATCCTCTTTCATTTTCGCTATGCTCTTCTGGTGAGACGACACTTAAAGATCGCACATGTCGTTGGACTTTCGTCTGTACTTCGTCGCGTATTTCATTTTGTAAATTCCGTTCTAAAAATGATCGTTTACGAAGGATACTTTTTTTAAGCAATTCTTTGTGCCTTTCTAACTTGAATTGTTTCTGTTCACTGACATCTACTATATCTTCTTTTTGACTACGACTTTTTTTAAGAATACGATTAAATTGGCTGCTTGTTGTCATAGCATTTGAAAGTTTTGTTGAAGTTCTAGTTTTCCATTCAAGATCATCCTTATTTTGCTGAAGTGCTAAGGAGCTTCGGCGATTTAAAGTAAATGTGTCCTCATTAGCACTCCCTCTAGACGACAAGTCCCCATCATCAAAACTTTGTGTATTTTGTTGTTCCTGTTGCTTGCGCATATTAACCAACTTTTCTTCTAGTTCTAGATTACCTTGCTTAAGTGCGTTTGTAATGGCTGAAAGAGAAATGGTAAAGGGGACGATTTATTTATTGTTGATTTATTGTTGATGGAATACTTACACTCCTGTATATACCCACTAGTGATCAAAAAGTTGTCACTTTGATTTTCCTCTACGATTTTTCCCACGGTTGTATTATTAATGTGGATTGATTTTTCGTCGTGCTCTATACCCTCTAGCAGCGCAGAGCCACCAATAGATTGAGTGTTAATTATAATATTAGTTTTATCAGTTTGGGCACATGTAGTGTGCTGCAGCTCATTTCCAGTGTCTACGGCTTTATTTATAATGATTGAGTTGGCTTCGTATGTAGTTGTTGGCCCGATGGTGTCAGTGTCGATGTTAGGCTGTAATGAACATCGTGTAAGGTCTTCACTTCGATATTTTTTCAAGCGATTCTGTTCATTATTGTCTTGATCTTCAACTAGAACTAGATTTTTAATATTTATTTGATTTTCTTGCTGAATTTGCATACAACTACTGTTGGTGTGGCTGAGAGAATCAGTAACAATTTTGCTACCTTGAGTTTCTTCATGACGGTATTTGATTGCCATTTCTTGCAGTGGACTGCAGACGACGATAATTTCATCGTCATCATCTTCTTGAGATATAAAATACGTATTCAATAAGCAAACATTTAATACGCCTCCACCAACCTAATTGTTATCAAAATTCAAAGTAATTATTCAATATACCAATAAAAAAATGTTTTTAGCTTACTAATATTATTAATTTACTTGAATGTGTAAACAGACACCTACCTGGCTTTAATCAGAGATCAGTTGTAGTACTTATTCCAGGCAACCTTTTAATGGTTTGTTATTAAAGTTGAGTAGTTGTTGTAGTTGGCGAAGAGATTAACACGTGGTTAGGAGTTGTAGTTGTTGACACGCGACATTAAGGCATGGTTTATAAACGTTTTAAGCAGTGGAAGCATGATTTTTATTTTGAGGGTATTGAAATTTTGTATTAATACAAAGATAGGAGGATAGTATTTAAGCTTGGTTTGGTTAAAAATTATAATGAAAATTGTGGAAAAGGTCTAATATGCTATGTTTTTGGTGGATATGGCTGTTAGTATTTTAGGGTAAACATTTGACTTGTTAATGTTTTCGCTTGGACAAGTGTAAAAATTTCGTTTCGATTTAGATGAGATGATTATAAATATGGTTAAGCCTTTGTGTTTATTTCGAAGGATATCATAAGAAAACTAGCTCAATCGCGACGATAGCTCATGCGCTTATAAGGAACGGTCGTCATTAAATTGCCATTTTTTTAATTTTAGAAGACGAATCGTGCCTCTAATTATAATTATTTTAAATATGTCAGCCAACTAAAACTCTGTGTATAGGGTTAATCTCTTCAGCAATTTTTATACTGATTGTATTTTAATTTGAATGGAATTTTAATTTGGCCATTGAAATAATGATGTCGAATAATTTGTTGCGATCCTTAAGTTTGTACTCAAATTCAACTGATTTCTGATTAATATTCATGTTCTGTTAAATGTCTGTTGTTGCTTTTCTTGCACTGAGTTACAGGTTTTGTTTAACGAGTTGATGTCTTCATATACTCGTAAATATATGAAGCATGCACTTTTTGTCAACACAAAGGCCAATTTGCAAATAATCATCCAACTAATTCAGAAACAAAAATTCACAAATGTTTCAACTTTTATGTGTTAAAAGGACAAGGATATTAGGGAAAATCGTAGCTACAACTTTACAAGATATAAATACGCGCTTATAGTATTACACTCGAAACTGCGTACAAATTAAGTACGCTTTATTCGCTCCGGGTGCGAGGGTCAGTGGGTGGAAAATATTAAAAGCAAGAAAGCGTAAATTGGATCCCTTTTTTTGAATGTGGATGAATTACATTACATTGTAATACATTACATTATAATTTTTTTTTCATCTACTGAGCTCCCATTGTTTTGAATTTAATACAATATGTACATACAGTTCCTGTTGACGCAGCAATGGTTAATAAACTGAATGAGCATCTATTGATATGAATGCTACAATAGGCACTTGGCAATAGGAATGTAAGGAAACCGATAGTGAAATGCCAAAATTTTAAGCTCAATATTAATTTTTATGATTGAATTACATGCTGAGATATTGTTAAAATTTAAAATTTAGTAACTTTTCTTGCTTTCAATATAAGGTATGTTGTAGAGATACAAACATACATTATTCTTTTAATAGGAAGATTTATAAGTATATATTTATTGTTAAAAATGTATGTAAATTTTTGTATTCTGAATCAATATCACCAAAAGGGATAAGCTCACATAGCAATAGGCTTTTATTAAAATCAAATTATTTTGTACGAAAAAAAAACAGAGCTGGTCACAATCATTTTGGTTTGCATAATAGGTTTTATTGCAAAAAGCGCTTTACATTTTACAAGTAATATATGTTGTATTTTTAGAAACCAAATGTATCCAGGCAAGAAAATCTAATCTCAGCTGCGTTGTGTCTAATACTTTTGCCTTGGTGTAAAACATTAGGTGACAGTCTGCATAATTTCTCACTAAATTTTTTGTGTGTGCTTGCTTTCTCATTTGATGGCTACTTGCTAACTAGCTAATAGTTTGCTTAAAACTAATAACGTATTCACATTTATTAAACTAAATACATGTTCAAGATTCTTAAATAAATCAAATAAATAAGTCAATTATAATGGTACTAAATAATATAAAATGGTTCTGTATAATTTTGTTCACTTCTGGAAAATTGGTTGATGAATAACTATGTTGCTAAAGTAAGCCTTTGTAGATATTTTAACGAAAGTCTGTTGCTGTACTTAGTAAAATACAAAGCAGAAAAATGACTTATATTGTTAAATGCTTAGGAATGTATTTATACACAATAAGAAACGAAAATTTAAAGAAATATTGGCCAAGGTTAAAATTAAAAACAAACAAACACATTATAATTTTTGTACAAAAACGTATAAAAAAATGCAAGGAAAGCAGCAACATGCCTCTCTGGTTTTGAACAAAATTAAAAATAACTTAAATATTATTTAGAAAAGCCGTTCAACTGGCGTTCTTTATTAAGGCTGCATATGTACCCTTTAAAGTCCTGCTCTATTATTATCTTCACCTTTTTTGAATGATATTTGTAATTAGAAACTACTCACTTGTTGATGTGTAGTTGATTGGTGTACTGGGGTAAGTGGAGGTGGTTGCGATTGAGCTGTTGTTTCCGGTTGCACCGCCAAGTATATTTTTGTCGGCCCTAGGACTCCTAGTTTGCCATTAGATTCTTGGGCTGAAAACAATATAAAATATTTATAGTTTATGGGTTGCTAGCGAATAGAGAGAAATCTTACTCACCTTTCATAAGCTGTTGCTTCACCTGGGTTTGCACCAGCTGTAGTTGTTGAGCCGTAAAGTCGTTACCTACCAAGCCTTGCAACACAATCCGTGGTCCGTGCTCAGTTTGCAATACTTGTGCCGTAACGCATTTGATAACTGTGCCAGGCGGTTGGTTTTGGAGAAGACTTTCTTCAACACTCATGGGTTGCTGTTGTGTCTGTCCTGGTTGGACAGTTCCTGGCGTTACATGCTGTTGAGGTATTGAAGAAGCAGCAGTGTCATAGCTACACTGTTGTGCAATTTGCTGTTGCTGAACAATAACTTGTTGTGGGCTGAGGGACGTTAGAGCCTGCTGCTGTGGTTGTTTGACTGGCGAGCTCTGCGGACTTTCTTGGGGCACTGCTGGCGCAGTATTGTTGGTAACGATGTGGGCGTTACCATCCCCTTGGTGTTTGATATGTGCAACAATTTGCGCCTGATTATTCCCTAAAGGCTTGACGATTACTTGTTGTCCATTGACAGTAGCTACTTGCAACTTGCCCTGTGCTAGTTGTTGGGCCAGGGTCGAATTTGGCACGAGCACTTGTTGGGTAGCTGTTTCATTGGCTTCATTGGTAGTGTTGATCGGGCCTTTTTCTTCCACTGTTGGTTGGGTGTGTTGTTGTACTACAAGTTGTTTAACTAATTTAGTTTGTGTGGTGGGCGATGATTGAACAACTTGATTCGTTTGAACAACATATTGTGGATGTGGCTGCACAATATTCTGTTGCTGTTGTTGTTGTTGTTGCTGCTGCTGGGTTTGAATTTGTTGCTGGACCATTTGCAATGCTTGACTCTGCGGTACATTTCGCTGAGTAACAATAGTCTGACCGGGGCTCAATATTATGCGTTGCCCCCCTATCACTATCTGTTGTTGGACATTACTTGTGTTAACTATTTGTTGGATTACTTTTTGTGTAGGTTGACTGCCCACCTGGTTGATCGCCATTTGCTGAGATTGCTGCTGTGGGGCCTGTTGAATTTGCTGTGGAAGGGCTTGAGTTTGTACAATTTGCTGCTGTTGCACTGCGGATGAGCCTGATTGTGCAGACGAAGCAGATATGATTACTTTTTGTCCTTGAGCGTTTTGACCAACTACCAACTTGGAGCCAGGCTGTACGAATACTTGTTGCAAATTTTGTCCCGGGGAACTTGAGTTAACAACTTTTGACACAATTTTCTGCACTGGTGGTGATGATGTTGCTGCTGATGCTTGTTGCTGCTGAGCCAATAGCATTTTGTTTTTAATTTGGGCGAGAGGTAAGGCAACCCTCTGTGAAGCTATTGATTGTGCCCCGGTAGGTTTTGCGACGTGCTTTACGGCCATTTGTTTAATTATAGGAGGTGGTAATGCTGCCGCGGCCGAAGTTGACGTTACGGCTGTGGATGATGGTGTAGGTAGAGATTTGATAGGTAATACCTTGCCTTTGCTTCCTATAAATATGAATGCGATATAGTGCTATTTAAATCCTACATTCTATTACACCGAGCTCACCTTGAGTCGCTGAATTTGATGAAGTTGTCAATACATGTAATTTTCCATCCGGCATTTGTACTAGTTGCTGTCCAGGGTTTAAGCCCCTTACACTTACTTTGCCATCCGGTCCACGTATTATTTGTACCTTGTGTGGGGTGGGTGCAGATTGCGTGGATTGTGTGTTAGATGTGTTTTGCACTGTTTGGGAAGCTGCTGCTGTCGACGGGTTCACTGGTGCCGTGCGGGGTACTTGTGTGACTGCCTGCTGAATGATTCGTGTAGTGCCATCTGGATTTTTAACTATTACCCGCCTACTGCCAATAATCTGGCCTTTAACTGTAAACAGTGAGATTCGATCAAGTTTCTTATGTATGTATAGTTTCGAGCTATGTCTTACCTGGAGTTCCGGACCGAGGTAGCTCGCCTGTACCGATGACTTTCCGTTGTTGATGCGCGGCTCTTTGTAGCTTTAATTGTTGCTCCATTTTCTCTTTAACATCTTCGTTAGGCTTTGGGGCCAGCTGAACACGACCAGCACCACCTGGAGTTCCATTAGTAGGTGTACTTGGACTGTTGCCACCGCTTGACTCTAGTTGCCGCGATGCCACCGACCGAGTCACTGTTGACAGACGGGCTTTTTCTTGTTTTTCACCAATAAATTTAATTTCCCATAATTCAAGTTTATCTTCTTCAACCCATTCTTCGCTTATTTGTGGTTCTGTTGGCTGTGGAGACTCAGCGCGCTTCCGTTTTCGCAGTCCGGAGCGTATTGATGTGACCTCTGAAAATCAGTCGAAGGATAAACCAAAATATAAATATACATGCAAATGTATTAGTATATAAGAAAACAAAAAATTATTTTAATATTACTCACCTCTAATAGTCTTTGGCATCTCAAGTGGGATGACAACTTTGCGCCGCAAATAGCTTGTTTTTTCGCCATAGCGGCCTGCGTGGCGAAGTTTTAGCAATTCTAAAGTGACAATTTCAGTTTCCGTTGTCACCTGATGTTTGCCATCGGTTGATGGCGGCTTGGCTATCATGTCGTCCCACCGAAGACAGGACCACAATATTCGTAGCTGAAGGGCAATGCAGGATAGCGTTGTGGCATTACACGAGCGATAAGACCAACATGTTCGGAAAAGAGGACGTGAGCACTGGTATTGCCAAATAGAGTTATTTTTAGCACCGTGGTGAAAACCATTTGTGGCTGACCTTCCGCCAAGTCGCGCTAGCTTCCGCAGTTCGTAACGCGGTAATACCAATAAACTGCGCTTTTTTTTGTGCGTAAGAAAATTGGAGATAAGAGGGTACCTTGCATACGTGACCTTTTTTACAATTTTATTTTTATCCTCACTTTTAACAGCTTGGTCATACAGCTTAGACCAATCATTGATCAGATAAACTCGACCTCGCGGTGAAGTAGAACTATAGACACGCTCCTTCCCGTTATCAAAATACTCCCGCTCATATTTAGTACAACAGTCACGCTTAACCTGACGAGAACTGATACGAAATCGGCGATTTTGTTTGAGAGGTATATCTTTGTCCAGCGTGTGATCCAGTACATCCTTAGTCCCTATATAGGCCTTCTTAGATTTTTGGAAACGTTTTCGACGTGATCCGGGTCTCATGTCTATATCCTCAGCGCTGGCATCTAAACACGAAGTATTTATCGCCGTAACTATAGAATCTTCAGTACTCTCGATTTCAACATTGCTGCAAACGTCCATACTTTCAATAAAATCCATTTTGTCCGAGTCTTGAGTGCTAGAATCTGCGTTTGTGTTGCTTCCTGGGACTATCTCTTCTTTTTTAACTCGGGCATTGTTAGGAATATCCGTCTCAATCAGCAAGCAATCGCTTAAGAGCACGTCAGTAAAAGCAACAGAATGCGCCCGAGCTTGCTCCCAATCTTGAAGTAAGTCAAGCGGTGCTTCAGTTTCTGCTGATTTTGCATCATCCGATTCATCGACTGAAAGCTGAGTTGTTTCCCTTTTGCCTTCAGTCAACTTCTGTTCGAGAATAGACGGTTTCTTAACAGCACCCAAGATAGCGGCCACCGTTTCTTTAGATCCATTGCCCGCGGTGTGCGCCTTTCGCAGTAGCAGTAGAAGTTCTTTCTTTGCACGAGCTTTTTGAAGACACAGTGGCGAGTAGCAAGTATTTTGTGTGATTTGAGATACAGCGTTTGAGTTTGTGTTACACTCCTTGGTATAACAACGAAAAGTCTTGGCAAAACGATTTAGCTGACTGAACTGTAAGCGCACTGTCTGGATTTGCTTAGCCAACGAGTTAACGAGCTCAAAGTTTACGTTTGCTGACCCTCCTTTTGCCGACACTTCTGTAAGACGCAGTAAACACTTTTCCAAGTAGGTTTGTTTGCTGGTGGCTGCAACATTACCCGGTGATGGTATAGCAATGGGCTTCACATCAGTTCCACCCTTAGAAGAAATTTGCTCCTCGACCTTGGCCAATTTCTTACGTCGCTCCAGTAGATCGTCTACCCAACATTTTCGAGCCAGTTTCGGATAGTAAAGACGTCCTGGGTCGTTCAGAGCTTTGCTAACGTCGATGATACCATTGATACACTTAACATCTTCGACAACTTTCACGTTTGTGTATTCCTCCGGTAAATAGGGGCAGATCTGACCATCAACAATGTTTGACTCACACTGTTGCATGAAACGCTTGGTACGTGGATCGACCAAGACAATTTCGTTAACGTCATTCAGAGCTGCTCCCATGGTATAGTGCACAAAAACTCTACTATGTACTCGGGGATGAGCTCGTCTGGCACGAATTCCGCAGCGTCGACTGCTTGAAAGCCATAGCCAGCCCCACTGACCATGTACACGATATTCTTCTCCTTTTTGCTTCCACACCTGATGCTTCAGACCCAAAGAATATTTGATGTAGTTAAATGCAAGTCGGTTACGTTCTTCCTCATCGTCGCGTTCGCGTTTCTCTCGCTTTTCTAACTTTTTTCGCTCTTCACGTTCGGCGCTAGTGATGCGTTGCAAAGCTCTATGGCCAAGTTGTTCATGCCATACATTAGCAAAGACTACACTTTTTAACGAAGATTGAAAGAGCAGCAGAACGGTCGCAAAATCAGTTGCGTGTCGTGCATTCATAACAGCAGTATTCCAGAATTTCTTATTAACTTGCCAATTCGGATTTAAAAATGGAGGTGTTATATTTGATTCAAAGTTTATCAATGTCTGTCTAAGCGTTGTAATCATATTATCGGGTGTTCCCATGGTAATACCAATCCATTTGAAGTCGGAAGCTGTTGTCAGTGAAAACTTGTGTGAGAGATGACGTCGTTTGTCTCGTTCCTCATTACGCTGCGGCTTATTAAGGGCGATTGGATTCGTTGCGTACTGGTTAACATAGTTTTTGAATCCTTGTTCCATGCCAAGTTTAAAAAATTGCGTGCCACTGTTTAGTTGGTTGGATTTCTGACGCGTAATCATTTTAATTTCTCCAGACTTATTCGCTACCTCTGCCACTGGGTCATCGGATTTAGGCTCATCATCAGCTGTTCCGTCTATCGTCTCTGTTTCGAGTATTTCTTTCGTAGCCTCTTGCTCTACATCTATTAAACTTCGCTTGGTATGCTTGTGCTCATTGGTTAACGACTCTGTTAATTTCATCTGACGCTCGATTTCCTCCCTTCGCTCTGTTAATTGGGCATATAGCCGAGTCTCCAGTTCTTCAGAATCTAATCTGTGAAGTAGTAGTTTTAACTTATTTGTTGTAGTATAGTACCAACAACTGGAGTCCATTTGATCTTCGATAAAAATTCGCCGTGCTATAAACCAATATCTGCGGCCATGACGATCAACTCCTAAGCTGTCATGTCGTATTAACACACCATGCTTTTCTTGTGGCAACACGCAGTCAATAACACCACTGATTTTGTGTGAACGACACAATCCACACTGCCAATCCTCAGTGGGCACATCATTCATTGGTGGGTCAACACATTCCAAATGATAGACTGCAGGGCAGGTTTCACAGCAGAGCAAATCTCCAAGTCGATGGCAAACACGGCAATGGTCATCATAATGAATGGGTCCCTCCTGAAGCATTACATCGCGTATAGAATTGGCTGTCAAAAACTGATCTGCCAAGAACTGGAGCACGCCAAGACGGTTTTCAATGCCAGTGTACGGATATTCTGTCCGACTTAATATATGATAAACCTGACGATCAAATGTCTTGTCACTTTCCACGTAGCTGCGCAAAACTTCTGGCCAAGTAATGGCATCAATTAGGTAAAGACTAATGTTTACCGTGTCCTTTTGATCTAGCGGCCCAAAGTGTGTGCCCTGAACATCTTCTTCTCGTAGGATCGCCTTTAGCAACATTATATGTACATCCGTCAAAAGAGCACTCTGCTCATCGCAAGTTAGAGCTGCACAGAAGTCTTCAAAGCGAAAGGGTGAAAGACGAACCAAGTGCCGAAAGCGTCGCAGTACTTCGTAGATGCTTAGGGCGCGCAAAACGTGTACATTTGCCATGGACAAATCTGCTGATGAATCCGGCAAATTAAGAGGTGCATATTCTCGTCCTTCTTGCAGCCAAATGGGTTCCGGACTTGGCGGACGTGGGGGCCGGCCGACTCCATTTTGGGTAAAGCTGCACACGGAAAATTCAGATTCACTCTCATTGCCTGCATCTAAGCTTTCGTCATCGCTAGGGGTAAGTAATATGTCATCCTCATTATCAGATTTATCTTCATCGGTATCTCCGAAATCTGACCCATAGTGATATTCCGACTCGTACCCTGTATAAACAAACAAGGTAGGTACATTAGAAAAAGTAATTGGTTAGGCATTTACCTTTCAAGCGATCGCTTGTGTGAAATTTGAACATTTTGTAGCCGTTTGCTTTTTATTTCAGGATTTTTATCAATTAGGTTTGAAATGGGATAATAATAGATATGCGATGTCAAAATTTTTTTCTCTGCTTTTGTTTGTCAATCTCGACACAACTTTTTAAATGTTTACGTGACACAGTGGCAACACTATTATTTGACATTATTTGACAAAAATGAAAAACATTCAATCTAATTAAACGTTAAGTAAATCTCATTAGCAAACCTCGTGAAACAACAAAATTCAACATACAAAGATTATCAAATAAAAATGTATTAATAAAATGGTTTTAACGCAAAAAGTGGGTTTTATGGAGCCAAGTCAATCGATCAAATTACTTCGTTCTGTGCGAAGATTTGCTGGAAAATGTGTTTAAAGATAAACATTGCTTAAATTCACCTTTTCTTCCAGAGTAGTTGCTGGTATTGGGTTGCACATTTGACTTGCGCCCGCGTCCCCTCTTAGCAGCACTACCACGATTCCCACGATTGTGATTGTTATGGCTGCTGCGACTACATTCATCGCTTTGTGGGGAAATTCCGCGTGAAGCTGACGGTGTGCTTGCCTGCGATTTTCCTTCGCTCAGATATTTCGGCTTTTTGAGCAATTGATAACTAAAACGTCCAGAAGAAGTTCGCTCATTTGGCGTCTTTGGCGGTCGACCACGCTTACGGCTCCCACGACCGCTCATTTTTGTGGTTTTGCTTTTGCCTGGCTAAGGCTATCAAATACACACAATCTTAATAAGTCTGTCTTTGCTATGGGTGCTTCTGAGCTTTTCTCAGATATGGTTCCGTTTTTCCGCGTTGGAATTGCACATTAGATCTAAATATAACGAGAAATAATTCATTTAATACAAAATGCTACCAATGTATTGTGTACATTTATCACATCCGTCTACAAACACATCCAAACATACACATCTATTCAATTGGATATACGAGAAAAATCGATCAGGTTCAAAGCAGCAAAGTCTTCTTGTTTGTTCACTTTGTTTACGGGTTCCACACATCTTTTTTATACGTTTAATAACACCCGCCAAAATATAATGTTTGTTAGACTAGGCTTAATATATTATAAGTGCGTGTGTATGCAAACACATTCTCAATTTATAATATGAACTGCACACGAACTGAACAGCAGCACCACCAAATATGTTTGTGTGTGTGAAGCCAACGCACATTGTCCGCCATTTATAAGTGGTGAAAATTTTATTAATTGCAATTAGCAACCACACATTTGACACTAAAAACATTAAAATTGAATGCACACATTTTTTGCATATTATTGATTATATTTAAAACAATATATTGTACTATTTTAGACCATCTTTTGAGCGAGGCGAAATATCTTTTACCTAACATAGTTCACTTGGAGAGGGTGTACGGTGTACAGTCGGCCAATCACAGAGTCTCTTTTATTTGTGGGTGCCGCAAGCGACACTGTCGGTCGGTTTTGGTACTAGTTTGTTGATGGTTGCATACAGGGCTGCAAATTACCGATTATTTATCGGTATTAAATAGAATATTTTTTAAATATTTACAAGAAAACAATATACAGAGTGCTACATAATTAAATAAAATCAATACTAATGCGCTTCCAGTATTGGATCGGATCTGTATTATCCGATCCGAATATAATTATTTCATCGGCACCGCTTTCTACTTGCTCAATTTATATTTACCGCAACAAAATTGTTGAAGCTATCATTGGGCCGCGTTCACCAGGACAAATTGATCAGCGATTAGTGATGGATCTCATCCATTATGGTGAATGCGTATGATCCATACACTACTATCGCGACGCCGCCAATACAATCGGCTCAGAACCTATTGATATTGGCTTCGAAGATTCGCGACTCACAACAAAAAACAGTCACGTAAAATTCGAATATTTCTTCGTAAAACTGAAGTATTAAGCTAATTTCATGATTTTTTTTATTAATTCGGCTTTGTTAATTTCTATTTCTTTGCGATTTAGTGCATATTCTAGTCGATATGTACGCTATCGATATAAGCCAAAAACAATCATTCATACACGAGACCAAGGGATCAAAATCTGATCTATGAATATTTGCATCAAAAACACAAAATCATGTGCGTTTACCAACACTATTGGAAGAAATCCATCTGATCTCTGATCAAGTTTTCCTTGTGAAATCGCCCATTATTTGACTGTGATTTTTTGGTTGGCGGTTCCTTCACTTATGGCTTATGGCACTTGGCTTTTAACTTGTTTTCACTTCAACGATAAATCGATGGGATGGGATGGGCGGCAAGACATCGCTATATTGCACACAGCTGTAAATCGCTCTTTCATCCATACTGTCAAGCCGGCAAAATAACGGAAACATAAAGGTTGTGTTGTTTTGGACAAATATATGTTTATTTATTTGGCATATGGAGCATATTAGTTTGCTAAATGTGTACGGCTGTGTTCGGGTTTAAAGTTACAAGTGCAGTTTGGTATGTTTTTGAAACGTGTAGGTTTTTTATAATATAAATTGCTCAGTCAATACCAAGTACAAACTACATTCAACGTTGCCAATTTTTGTATGTACAATTGTAAATTTTAAAAAGCAAAAAATGCCATTTTATATTTTCGGAATGCACTCTGCAATGTAATGTACTTTCACTTGTATATATTTCATGTACGTTCAGGATTAAAATGTTGTTTAGTTATGGTTTGGCGTTTTGCAGAGTAAAACCAATATGTTTTTTTGATAATTAATGTTTTATGTTTCTTTGAAAATCTATTAAATAGTCAATTGCTTATTGAATTTATGATTTTTGATTAACATAATGGGAGTGGTGTGGTGTTGTGGAGGGGGGTGGGGGAGGGGGATACATTACAGATACGTTTTTCTTTAGAAAAAATTAAATTCGCTCAATTGCTTGTTGCAGTTTGCTTGTTGAGTTTTGTGTTCAAATTGACAATCAACCAATTTCCATACTATACAATATTCATTCATATAAATTATTTTATTTATTTAATGACAATAATTTGTTCATATCAATATTTTATTGTTACTTTTCACACAGTTCTCTACTTATACAAATGTGTGATTTCTTTTATGTAGGTCTAACAAAAACAAGAACAAATGCCAAAGTCCGTATATTTTGGCACTCTATTTTGAAAAACACCGTCCGTATACTCGATCTAGTTAGGGTGTATGTACTGAGTACTTGTTAATATTTTCTCTATGCAATTATCGAGTATATCAATATTAAATCTGTGGGTAGTTTTTTTATTCAGCTTGAGTGGCTTTTTGAAGTCTCAAAGTGAACTTGAACAAATAAACAGAAGGTTTAAAAATATGTAGTAATTTCAAGGAATTTATTATCGCCTTATCACGTAAATTATAATTATATGGACAGGTAATAGGGTTTGTAGACTAGCAGTCGGCGACACTAGGTAACACTTTTATAGAAAGCTGCATTAAAATGCCAGAATACATTATTTATTTTTTTTAGTAAATCTAAAACTCTAAATACATATCTTATGGCCACGTTTATCATTTTGCCGTCTAGAAACCCTTGAACAGACACTTTGCGATTTAAAAGCCAAGAGATTTATATCAAAAACAGGAAAAGAACTTTAAAATCAATACAACTGTAACACTCGTTTGTTTACTTTGTTCAATTGGTAGTGGCAATTTAACATAAACATTAATGTAACAAATGGTATACGTCTTCTTCGTACATATGTAACATGTACGTATGTATGTATGCATGCCTAATAGGCATTGCCTATAGGCCTGTTATTGTATGTATGTTATTCTATATTTTGATATTCCGTGTGCTTAGGCGGATGAACTATCCGTTGGCAACAGCGAAGTGGCGGCCTCTGCCAGCTCAATAGCAGCAACACGGGCCGCTGTGAGAGTCTCATCTGCGTCAAAGTCAGACTTGTGCGTCGGCGATTGGCTCGGGGTACAGTTAGTACTCTTTGGTTTGCGGAACCAGTTGCCAATGCGGCGTCGTCCTAGCGAACCCGTTGATGTCGCCGTCGATAACATCTGCGAGTTGTCCACGCTGGCGATGCCATCCCGAGACTGCGATTTTTTTGGCAAAGTGTCGCAGAACCGGGAGGTCAACTTGGCCGGCGATTCCGGAACGGAGCTTTCCCCACTCGCTAATGTGGCACACAAGGCGTACTCAAAGTCGGGCAGCTCGAAGTCCGACTGATCTGAAAAGTCCCCCGGCCGCTCCACGTAGCTGTATTCAAACCCTGTCATCTCTGATACGTAGAGTGCCTTGCCACTGAACTGGCGCTCAAGGGCGAGGGTGCTTAGAAAGCGGTGCTTGCGGTTTGCCGAGCGGAAGCTGAAGTCGTACCACTTGTCCCGCGACTCGCAGTAAATCCGCAGCGAGTTCTTGATCGTGTGCCCAAACATCTTTCCATCTCGTACGTTCACCACTCGACAGCGGTCGAGAAATATGCGTCCTTTGTAGATGAAGTGGGTGCGTTTAATGATGTCGCGCTTGCAATAGACCAGCTGGTTGTCGAATAAAAACAGCGTGTAGCTGCTATTCCACAGATTCTGCTTCTGTCGTGTGGCATCAACCTGTAGAAAGAAACGTCCACTGTGCAAGTGCAATGGCGGGCCCTTGAAGTTCTGAAAGCTGGCCTGGTGCCTCGCAATAGTCTCGCTATGTCGTTTTCCCTCATTGACGGCCTCAGTGATGCCACGCATAGCCTCCAGAGCCAAGTTTACGGTATCGTATGTGTCGGGTATATACATCTCATTGACGTCGACTTGTTCGTAGTCGGAAGCCGAGGGTTTTCGAACTCCATCTAGCTCAACAGTTCCCGTCTTGGGAGCAGAAGCCAGCGCTGACTTAATAACCTCGTTAAGGTGCAGGGGATAGCGGCATATGCGTTGCACGGGAGCCAGCAAGTGAGCGGAGAGTGGGAGCTCTGCAAGGTTCCCCGATTCGCGGCAACTGGAAAGGCGACAAACTGTTTTAGTACGCTATTTTAAAAACACTATTCAGGAAAACTAACTTCTCCAGAATGGTGCGTGCATCCTTAACACGATCGTAGGACTCGAGCTCGATAAGGGCACGTGGATAGGCGTTGCAGTAGTTGGAGTAGCATAGGAATCCTTTGTGCTGTTTGAGGTGCAGTGAAAAGTCAACAAATTTCTAAATGTGATATGGGATTCTCCGAAATCCACTCACCATTTTAAGAAACACCTTCGAAATTTGGTTTTGCTCGATTCCTCTGCGCAACGCCTCGAGAAACTTTTTCTGAAACTTGTAGATGGCCGATATGTTTGAGAAGATCAGACGAATGCTGTTTGGCGAGAATATATCGATGCGTTTGCTCATCGCAGGCAGATACCTATGGCGGGTCAAAGGGAAAATGTTATCAGTGATAAAACGCTCATGCCCAGATGTGGACTTACCCGTCACAAATGGCAGCCAGCAATTTGACATAGTTAACCTCTGTATCCAGCAGTTCACGCACAGCACTTCGGCGTAGGACCGTCTCGTTGTCCAGAACGTTACCAGTGGGACCCCCTTTCGAGGGCAATGGTGGGGATTCAATAACTATGGTGGTGATGTTGCTATAATCTGTGCTCATGGTGACGTCTGCGTCTTTTGAAAAGTCAGCTACGGGCACAGGCACGGCACAATTCCCGGCCTCCCCGGCGGATGTTGAGACCTGCTCTGCCTCTGATGCCGCTCGGTGCACGTTGAACAATCTATCCGTCTCGGGACATTGAATAATACGCACGAACTCCTTTGGGAACCAGCCCAGCTCGGGATCAAGTATCTCATCCACGCGATTAGTCTCCTCCTTTTTTATGCGTCCAAACCACCAGGGTCCAACTTCCTTGCGCAATATTTCAATCAGCATTCCGCGCTCCAAGCCCAATTCCTGCGGGCCTCCGGCAGTAAAATTGTACAGCACTTTGGCATAGATGGTCGGGTAGTAGCTGGTAGCTGTGGACAAAGGAGAACACCATATCAGTACATACATTCTGGTCGGAATGGGCAATTTCAATTTCAATTAACACAAACCTTCCTCGTGGGATGCAACGCTGTCACTGTCGCTGTCCTCCATCTCAGAGCGCCCCATGCCGTAGGTTTCCAGTCCGTTGGGCTGGCTAAGCGATCGTGTGGGCAGTGACTCTGGCGCTTCACGTTCGATATTGTCAGTGGCTCCAATGTCCAGGTGCATGTGGTTCTTAGACTTTAGGACGAAGGATCCGAGGTTGCTGCTCGCCTTTGCCGAATTAGTGCGGCGTATGGTACGCGACTTGGATTCAGTTCCATCGGACGTGCTGATGGAAGCGAGAGTTCCTCCATCTCCTCGTCTTCGCACTTCTCCTTGGGCACCCACCGGTAGCACACGATAGTACTGCTCGTCCTGCTCCAGCTCTATCTGAATGCCGGAATCACCCGAATTGCACTTGTCGCGTCGGTTGAACTTTGTCTTGCGGCGCTCCTTCGATGTGCGCCAGATGAGGGGTCCGAAGCGATACTTGCCGGAACTGCCATCGCCGCCGTCTGTTCCAGCGCTGTCGTTTGTTGTCACTGTCCCCGCAGTTGTGATTGATACGGACGGCGTTGATGGCGATGACTTGGGCTTTGAGGTATTGCCATTACTGGCTGCTGCCGTTGGCGGTACAGGGGTGATGTGTAGTTGATTCTTGATGTTGAAGTTGTTTAACGTGCGTTTAAACTTAAGCAGGACGCCTAGGCCTACACCACCTCCTCCGATTCCACTATTGGTGCTTGTGGCAACAGTAGCAGCCCCGTCTGCTGATTCCGTGCTCACATCCGGCAGCTTTCGTGATTCTGAATATAGTTCTGTGAGCGAGGGACTAGAGACGGCTCGCATCTGGTGCGACTGCAAAAAAAATAACAGGATTGATATTACAAGGCGTCCCTTGTAACTTTTATTCGACTATTACGATACTCTTAGAACTTAAGCTATGGCTAACCACAAAAATCTTATTACTTAGCAGCTTTGTTTATGCCCGCGTAATGGTTACGTTACGGGTTATTTATTATAGCAACAATGATACGATAATAGCTAACGCTGCTCTGCGGCTGGCTATGTGTAATATAACAAGAATTTCAATGGAACCTTATCGATGTCTGTATCTCTGACGAAATATGGCTGATTATGCTATTGTTATTGTTAAACTGGCAAAGAGTGAATTTAGGTAAAACCGTTGTTGCTAGCTTCGAACCGAATCGAAACTGGAATTACATTTTTATCGAGTTTTGCTTTCCGTTTGACAATCAATGTGATACGGCTAACAAATGCGTGTGTTTGTATGAGTAGCAGTGTGAACTGCAGCGGGTGGTATTTGGGAAAGGGTCTGCCGTGGGGCATGTCCAAAATACTAGGCGCTTAAAAACTGTTCAAACACAAACACAGTCATCAATACAGACACACTCACGAGTCAACACTTTGGTAATAATTTTCGATACGGAGGGCGGACACGGTGCGGCTGACCTGGAGAAGGCGAGGTCTCCACTTGTGCCGCCGCTCGTTGGGCATAGTATCGTTTATAGGCAGTTCGAAGTTCGACCCTCCTCTGGGGGATTGCCACACATTGGCCGGGGCGCCAGTATCGAAATCCCAGAACTTTATCAGGCCATAGGTGTCCATAAGCGTTGGTATTATCAGCTTCTTCATAGCACTCTCTCATTCGGACCGATTCAGTGAGATCTCTGAATCGCCGGTATGTTCTGCCCGGACCCAGTTCTGTTCCAGACCAAGCAGCGGTGGGCCCGCGAGGAGCACTGGCAGGTGTAACCGGGCGAAGCGAAATATTATAACTGATTGCCAGCAATCGGCGGCGGCGAGACTTGCAAATGCGAGGCATTGACGAGTGCTGATGTTGTCGTCCGGCAGACGTGTGTGAGCGTGTGGCTCATTGTAGTAGGAGATATCTCATTAACGGACATAAAGCATTGAGATCGGCTCTATCTGCCATTACCATTGTGTGGCCTAGACATGAGCTCTGCAGTATGCAGTCTGGACTGAAGTGTTTTGATTAGATTAGAGCAGGAATTGAATGGCACGAGCCGCTTGATAGATGACACTTGATGGATCTCTTGCTGGCTTTGTTTGGGCTGTACGGGCTGCAGATGCTGCTGGGTCATCCTATTGTCGGTGACTTCGCTTTTGCGGGGGCAGATATCGCAGATACCATGGTCAATGTCAAACTGCAGTCGAATTCCTTTGTGTCGCATGATAAGTTTTTGCTTTCGCATGCCATCCCTTCCATATGATATGCGACAGTGACGCTGGGAAAAAGCAAGGACTTTGAGTGAGAGCTGCGGCCTTTCTTAATTAACTAGATTCCTATATAATTCACCGTCATGGACGGTGGTATCCACCCAACAGTAGGATTCAATTAATTTACTGTGGCCCGCTTTTGTGATTGACTGCACAAAGAAACTAACTGACTCTTTCTTTAACTATAGAAAACGCCTTTCTATAGCCCGCCCTATATGCAGATAATCCTTTCGGTTGTTCCATCAAAATGCGCATTTAGAGAGTCGGGCATTAAGACAGACACCAAGGGCTTGTGTTTTATCGGAGTTCAATGATTCTTGTAAATAATTCTTCACAGCATGTCTTCCAATACAATGAATGATAATACACTTATCGCATCTGTTTCAGGCTGATGGTAGATATTTTCATGTTTACAAGAAATCACAAGAAACTCCAACCGATCCCCGCACTTGTGTAGGGAGAACAAGCAAAGGAACTGTAAGGCATATGCTTTATATCGTTTGGTAACATCGAGCGATTCACACGTGAAGTCTAATGTCACACATGGACACATAGAGAGGCACTTCCCTCCCCGTTGTTTAGCAGGTAACACATTTAAAGGTTTATTTATGAGCGCAATGAACTTCGACTACGGCGAATGTAAACAGACGAGTAGGAAAGGCGGATACTCAACGGCTATAGACAGCAAGTCTTGGGCTGGTCTCAGTGATTTAAAAATAAATTTCGACACCATTTACATATTGAAATTATTAGGGACTCGAACGAAGAGGATGTAACGCTGGCTAAGGAATTTAGGCAAAGAAAAAGTATGCTAAAACCAAGACAAGCGGAAAACAGCAGGAATCATGTGCTTTTAGTGTAAGGCATCCTTGTACTTGTGGGTTCACATTATGATCACATCATACACTCAATGCATTTGATCCGATTGTGACTTTTCAACTGTTTGTGACTTTCAACTTCTTTATGGGATCACATTTCAGGTTCGTCCGCAGCGTTTCATGGGCTTCCGTTCAAGTCAATCATGACTCCCGCACACTCACCCTGGCTGCGGTTGGCACGTCAATCCTAAAATGGAAGTGGTAGTCAATTCACTGGGAGAGTATGGGTAACGAACGATTGGACATAACTTGCGGTTGGCTGAACTGATGGGATGCAATGAGATCAACTCTATCATCTCTTCTTATATAAAATACGTATGGGCAACGCGTCTAAGAAAGGTATGCAATCAGTCTATTGAACTCTTTTTCGTTGACTACACCCCTTCTGTAAGCATTGTCGATGGTTAGGGTGCATTAAAATGCATATCGCAGATGTTTGAATGTTTCCATCCAGCTTCGAGTCTCATAAAATTGAGTTTAATTATCTGAGCTTTATCTACAAAGGTTTTCAGAATTGACGGTGTTCCAGCAGCTATTGATCTAAAAAACGTTAATTTTTTAAGAAAACCCCACATAACTTCTGTAACTCTAAAGGGCGAGGGGATGGTCGGGTGGTAATAAACGGACAAAGATCTCTCTCTCTCTCTCTGAAAGCATTCAGAGAGTGTAATTCGATAACACAGAGAAAATTGCAGTCCTGATTGTCACTCTCACAAGGAGACTATAGTATATACGTATACTCGTACTTCTACGTAAATGTACGTAAATAGATATAAACCATATGTCACCATTTAGTGGAGCCTAAACCCAAAAACTCGTAGAAAGTACTCGTACTTGCACGCGTGAGCCTTTTCAGCTCCCAGCCATCATCAATATCGACACGGGCGCACACAACGCGGCCCCGCACTAGAGGCCAAAAAAAGTGGATGAAGATGGCATCAGGTTAGATAACTTACCAGTCCTCCAGCATTTCTCTTTATTCCTACGACTTTGACTCCGTGATTTCCGGTTTTAGGCATGCTGTAAAGGATACAAAATATATCTTTTAGTCGGAGAGACATTTCTGAAAACAGTTGCACAGTAGCAGTAACCGTATCCCGTGGAGAATTATGCAAAATTTAACACCGCCGATAGTAGTTGATCGGCCTGTAAAGCGAAACAGGTAGGATGATCTCGCGCATGGTGCTACTCCTATAAGCTTTGTGTTCCCTCATTAGTCGTTGGCAAAGAGTGCACGATGCAGAGCCATTTGCAGAATTCATAGAAGGACATAAGGTTACGATTCTGAAGGTAAGGGTAAGGGATCGGCATGCGTGTAAAAATAAGACAGTTAAAGGTGCTGTGGGCTGAGTGCAGGCACATTTTGAAGCGGAGGAAAAACAGGAAAGTGGGTTCAAAAAGGATTTTATACATTCATACAATCAAGAGTAAACTTTTCCCATTTTATTTCTCTATTTCCTTATGCTTATTGTAAGCAAACACTATCGATTCCTGGAATTCCTGGCACCCAAAGTAAACAAGCAGGCAAACGGCCTAGAATGGGTCAGAAAGGACCATTGAAATTCGGAGGTATAAGGAATCAACAGGACATGGTCACAGACAAAGGGAGGAAAATGAAGAAGGATATGTAAAAGAGCGCATAGTGTGCGTTTCCTTAGTTTTCTTTTCTCTGGACTCACACTTGCCGTTTCTTTAAATAAATAACGAAACCAGAGCCAGAGCAGCGGTAGGCAAATGTAAGGTCGGGATTTGCGTGTTCGTAAGAAAAAACGTATTAAAACAACGGTGCGTGAAGGAATGCAGTCTTCGCAGGCAGCGGCTTTGCAAGGTTCAGGCTTCGAGGACACAGATAAGCCTACACAGGAATCTGATGGAGGGATAGTTGTCCCTATATATCTTTCTCTTTGATGTACAGTTGAATGCGAGTAATAGAGTCTGATTGACGCCTTGATTGAGGGTCAATGTAAACTCAAACTCAGAGCAGCTGCATCGCTCCTGTTTCCCTACCTGCGCTCTTCTTACCGTTGTAAAGTCTTAAAACTTCGACCCTCCACGACCAGATTTTTCTTTCTGGGCGTTCCGTGCTTCAAAACTAGGGCTGAATTTGTCCCGTTACTTTGTATCTGCTTTTTCATGTTGAGCTTAGACTTTGGGTTGGTTCCTATTTTAGAAACTTCTTTGCACTTTATGTTGTTGCAGCAGCTGTTCGGTGGATTCGAGTTCTAGCGACTTCACCAGGAGATTTAATTTGCGAAACACTAAACCGAGCTAGGACGGACCGCACGTGATATGTGACCATAATCAAATTTTTGTTACGGGTTTTTAGTAATTTCTTTCCATGGCAGCTTTAACCATTGGTTGTTCACATTCCACCCTATATTTCTGCCGCGGCTGAGTTTTGTATAAGCGCGTGTGTGATCGGTTCGTCGTGCAGAGGCAGACTGATTTCAACAACGATGCTCAGGTTGGTCTGACTGCACCCCAGAAGACCGAGTAAAATAGGGGAAGGACTCGTACCATGCATGAGCATGAGTTTCAGTGCCGATGGTGGATGCTTCCCTGGCGTGAAAACATCTGCCGATGCTGGCAGGAAACCGGTTCCTAGTCCCGCCAGCCGCTTTTACCTCCACTAGCCCACCCCTCAAATGGCGTGTGGCAAATAATAGAGAATCATATTTAAAGGAGACGTGATCCATCACGGAGCTAAAAAAGGAAAACGTCTCCTTCTAAAGCTCTGTGCTCAGTCTACCCAACCAACACTAGTCGAGTCGAAAAACAACAATGAAAGGAGGGGATTCTTCACGGCTCTCTCTTGCGATTAAGAAACAGTCAGCTAAAATCTAGTATCTATAGATACTACATACATATGTATACATATATCTACATATACTGAAAGTTGATACGATACCGGAAATACAACAGGCGCCTCTTCAAAATACTCCCTGAATCGATGCGGGGAAATGGAACACAGGATGTACAGGCACTTAGAGCTCGCTGACAGCTCAATGCGCGAGTTCAATATGCTAACGATAAATATATTAAGATTGAGGCAACCTTTCCACAGAGTCTGCATATGTTCTGGAAGCTGGATGTTTAACTAGGTTAAGTGCAAGGTGCAATGCATGGGTTGGTCAAGGCAGCTGAACTCCAACTGGAATTGCAACTTAAATTTATACCGGTTCCTGCGACTTAAAACAAATGAATGTTGCAAAACGACAGAACAAGTATGTCTGCGATGGGACCCAGGGCCGGTGTTGGCCATATTTTACCTGGCCACAAAAGGAACAAAATGTGAAAAGCAAAAGCAACAAGTAGAATCGAAGGCCGGTGGAAGACCGCGGACCGCGCTCAAAAATGTTCATATAACCCCATAGAGTACGTGTCTTACTTCATCTGCGGATCAAATTAAATGAGTATGGAAATTATTATTGACCAAACACGAGCTCATATTTTGCACAACGTAACTCACCAAAGAAGCTGAACCTACAATACAGATATAAACTCCAGGTATGTACATATGTAAATTTACGTACCCTGTGCTAGACGGCCACCAAAACAAGCAATGGGATATAAATCCAGCGGTAATTAAAGATAAAAAACAAGGTCTACTATTAAGAATCTCACAAAGGAGAACGTAGACATCGTACAATAGTTTCATAAAATTATTGGGACAGCGCGAATGTAGTTGACCCAAAGATGGGAACGTACAGCTGATCAGTTGCCAGACCACAGACAAGTGACAACAAAAGGAGGTGTGAGCATACATTTTTCCAAAATAAACGAGAAGTAACGTGTGAGTCGCTTCTGTGGACGCGACTCTACTTTTATACATGTACACCGTCAGTATATAAATCTGCTAGCTTATGATTTATGTAGAATTTTAAAATATTTTACATTTTAAATGTTTTTGCTACATCTGATATCTACATATATAATGTCGATTCCACATCTGAAATGTAGATTATACATCTTGTCCGCAAAGGTCGCGCTTTTCACAGGGCAGTGTGTGCGAGCGAGAAAGAGAATGAGTGGTCTCGTGCTGGAGGAGGTGGGGGAAGCGAATGAAATTTTTGAAATACACTTGTAACAGTGTGATATCACATGAGTCGGGAAACAAAATTTGGTTGCTCTAGCTCGTATAGTCTCTGAGAATTTTGAATTTTAGAATTAAAAAATTTTTTTGCTACATCTGTTATCTACATATACATCTACAATGTATATTCTACACCTACAATTTATATTCTACATCTACAATGTATATTCTACATCTAAAATGTAAATTATACATGTACCATTTATATTCTAGATCTCCTCCGCTAGGGGTTGCTCGCGCACTGAAAGTGGCAGAGTGTGCGAACGAGAAAGAGAATCAGTAGCGTCAGCAGCGCTGGAGAAGGAGAGGGAACCAACAGAAAATTAATTTCTTCATTCTGGCTATAATTATGATCCGATCTGATTCAAATTCGGCAATCTGGTAGATATGGTAATTTTCTACGATACTGCGTTTTTAGTTTTATCGTATCTTTAAAATTGTGCCTGCCACAGATTTTCGTCCTTTGACGGGGCGGGAGGGGGCGGGGCGAAATTTTGAAATACACTTGTAGCAGTGTGATATCACATGAGTCTGGAAACCAAAATTGGTTTCTCTGGCTCTTATAGTCTCTGAGATCCAGGCGCTCATCGAGACTTTTACCACAAATCTAATATACCCCTTAACTCTTTTTTGAGTACGGGTATAAAAATGTTCCGAGGACTGGAATGACAGAACTTAACTGATCAAGCCGCCTGCCAGCTGTGGTGTGGTAAAATGAAAACGTATTTCACACTCTTCCCTAAGAGACAATAAGAAGAGACTGATTTCTTTGCAATAACGGAGAATATTCCATTTAGGTTTTAGGCATGGATTCGATTTTAATAAGAGCATTAAATAAAGTAACTGCTTTCTAGTATTCCTTTATAATGAAGAATTGAAAACATATGCACAAACAGCCAACTATGAAGCCAACTTGCAAATGCCAATATAGCAGTTTCTACTATGACTTCACAGCAGCATAAGTCAAGACGCATCATTCTTATTTTCCCTTTATCGATACACGAACAATATGAATTATGGATACAAGTAGGAAGAGGCGCACACAAGCCTTTGCATATTCATAAGACAGGCAAAGGCAGAGGGAAACTCCACTACCGCTTGTGAGGAAAGTGAAGGTCTGCCGAAATGAACTGTAGTTGGTGAGTAGGAAGTGGGGAGAGGCTCTCTAGCTCTCATATTAAAATAATGCTGAAGTAATGAATGGATCGGAAAGGAGGGATCCGCATCTGCGTAGCGTCCTGAATCATATTTGAACGGTCGCTTCAATGGTTAATGACATCAAGGTGACTTTTTATTCCAGTACTCGAAGAGTTAAGGGGTATATTAGATTTGTGGCAACAGTGGATGTATGCAACGCAGAGACAGAAACGTTTCCGACCCCATAAAGTATATATATTCTTGATCAGCATCAATAGCCGGATCGATGTAGCCATGCCTGTCTGTCCGTCCGTCCGTCTTGAGGAGCGCCTAGTTCTCAGAGACTATAAAAGCTAGTGCAACCAAATTTTGTTTCCAGACTCATGAGATATTACAGATTTTCAAGTGTATTTCAAAATTTCGCCGCGCCCCCTTCCGCCCCGCCACATATGTATGTATGTATATACTGACTGAGTACGGGTATAAAAGTAGAGTTGGGGCCACAGAAGCGACGTACAACGTTCCTTCTCGTTTTAAATAAGCTTGAAGAGGAACGTCAGTCCACCGATCAAAAAAATCCTTCCAAGAATATAGTGTGGGGTACCACTTCCCTATAAAATACGATTTTATTCTGTGACGCCTAGCGCAATCAAACTCAAACATGTATACTCGTACACTTGTGTAAGTCAAAGTGGGTTTTGGTTACGAATTTTGAATGAATAATTACCATTAAGATGTATCGAGAAAGCGCGTGGTGAAAGTGAAAGAAAATGTGGGGGTGAAAGAGGTA